AGGTACAGAGGGAGCCAATGCAATGCAACCTGTAGGCATGGAATGGAACTTGAGATCTTGTTGTAAGCAAGGTTGCTGCAGGGAGGGGATAAGAGGGGGTAGAGAGAACAGAGAGAAGAGTGAGAGGAGAGAGAAGAGTGAGAAGAGTGAGAAGAGAGAGAATGCGCCTGAGATTACAAAGATGGAAAGAGATAGATTCTAGTAGGCGAGGCGAATGCACCCTGGCACTCCCAGCGTAAGAAATAATCCCAATCTCCCAGCTGGGTGAATGAACCCAGCATTTAAGGCGCCTCAGAAGTCATCTCTCTACCCGCAATAATCCCAATGTCCCAGCAGTACGACACTGCTAGCTAATGGTCGCTACTGCTTACACAACCACCAAGCTGCTGAGGGCTGCCACTGCTGGAAGGATTTCCCCCTCGAATTTGTTGTTTCCACCTAGATTGCTGCGCCCGAGGGGGAGAACAGGAATGAGTCAATAAAGGTCAACACACGTCTACAGAGGTCAACAGAGGTCAATGCTGGTCAGCAGAGGCCAATAATGGTCAGCAGAGGTCAACGCAGATGCAGCGGGGTCAATACCGGGCAGCAGAGGTCAACACAGGGCAGCAGCAAATGTCAACGCAAGTCCACACTGAATATTTTTCAACAGGTGAGCGAGACAGTGAAGGAACTACTCTATTGCTTATACGCTGCAGACGTATTCCTGGCATACAATGCTTGGAGCTTTCGAGAGGCGAGGGTAAGACCCTATTACTGACATACTCGTCAACAGCAGCTATTGCTTGCAGTGGAGGCTGTTGACTACTCTACTCTACTCCGACTTCTATTACGTATTTTTAGCATACAACGCTTGAAGATTCGAGAGGCGAGAGATGGATGAGGGAACCGATCCTTCAAAACTGTTGTAAAAGAGCGATCTGCACAAGCACAGGTCATGTCATGTCATGCCATGTCATGTCATGCCATGTCATGTCATGCCATGTCATGTCATGTCATGCCATGTCATGCCATGTCATGTCATGCCATGTCATGTCATGTCATGCCATGTCATGTCATGTCATGCCATGTCATGTCAGGCACAACAAGCCAGTCACAACACAAGCGAGCCAACCAAGCCAGTGACACGTAAGGCACATGTCGCTCACAATCACCCACATGTCCAGGGCTCAAAATGTCAGTCAGATGCAGCCCGCTTCGTACGGTCGGAACGGTTCTGTACCTTAAACTTTTAAATAAACTCTGGCCCATGAACTTGTTTCAGAACTCTGGCCACCCAAAAAATATGAAAAAGGTCGGATACCTTTGCGATGACGACCAGAAAGGGAAAGAGGGAAGAAAGGGCCAGCAAAATTGTATCTAACCTGATAAATAAAGTCGCCTCACTGTGATCCCATAAATTGGCGCCCCTTGATTGAAGAGATTGTTAGCATAGGTGCATGGGTTGCTGAATCAAGTGTCGTCACCGTGGTCACATGGGTTGGTCCCTCCTTGGGTTCTACAAAAGAGATTGTCAGCATAGGTGACACGTACAGGAACGAGAGCTGAGTTAGTTTTGACACGCCAGTGGGGAAGCTTCCTGAGAATGCATTGTTCCCTAGGTCACTGATTGAGGGAGCAAGGGTGGTTTTGGTGCACGCAAGGGTTCCCAAGTCACAAATGTTGGTGAGGTGAGTGAAGTGGCTGGTTAATAATGAAAGTTGAAAGCAACGAAGGCTCTGGTATATGGTGGAGAGGAGAAGAGAAAATGTAGAACTGAAGTTATGTCTGTTGGGACAACTCGACGTCCACAACGAGGGAAGTGAGGCAAATCAACAATAAGTCTCATCTCTTGCTGTGTACTTCAATTCAAGGGTGGCTTCTTCCAGACACTCAAGGATGCTTGGTATTGGAATTTGGATTGAGCGTACTAGACAAGGCGGAAAGAAAGAGTGAAAGTGAGAGGGTGAGCGAAAGAGTTGGAAATGAGATGGAGGAGGGTGACGAACATGAGAACCAGATTGGTGAGTGCACTCAAAGACAGGGGTACTGCTCCGCTCATTTTGTTGGAGTATAGATCACTGCGATGAAGGGAGGAGGATGTTGATGAGAGGAGGGGGAAAGACACGTGATATAAGTGAGTTATAAATCACTGGTCGAGAAAGTAAAGCAGAAATGAGTACAGGGTTTTAAGGCGGGATAAGGAGCCGATGGCGGGAGGCAAAGCGCCCTCAATGAAGTTGGATGAGAGGCCGCTGCGAGCGGGAGGGCAGAGGGAGGAAGAATGGGAGGAAGAGGGTAGGTGAGATTTGAGTTTCTTAGAGGTGCCTCAGAGGCCATTGGAGACAAGGCACCCTTTATTAAGTTGGATGCGAGGTCGCTGTGAGTGGGACAGGGAGAGGGAGAGGGAGGAGAGGGAGAGGAGGAGGAGGGGGAGATATGAGCTTTGAGTGTTTTGGAGGTGCCTCAGAGGCCGATGGTAGTACGAGGAAAGGCACACTGGCCAAGTTTGGATGAGAGGTCGCTGTGAGTGAGAGCGGGAGAGATGTCGAGAGGGAGGAGAAGGAGGGGGCAGGGAGGGAGGGGGGCAGGAAGGGAGGGAGGGAGGCAGGGAGGCAGGGAGGGAGGGAGGGAGGGAGGGAGGAAGGGAGGGAGGGAGGGAGGGAGGGAGGGAGGGAGGGAGGGAGGGAGGGAGGGAGGGAGGGAGGGAGGGAGAAGGGAGTGGGGCGGGGGGGGGGGGGGGGGGGGGGGGGGGGTAGGGAAAGAAGGAGGGAGACATGCGCACGGTCTCTAGAGATAACCATTTAGTGGCAGTGCAGGCAGCAGGAACGCGTGCAGGACTTGATGGTTCAAAAACTCATCATTCTAGTAAGTGCAGAAATGTGTGCAGCCTCATCACAACATAACAATTCAGTGGTGGTGCAGGCAGGAACGAGTACAGGACTTTAAGGGTGGATAAAAAGGCGATGATAGATGAACGATTTATTATTTGAGACATCTCGAGCTGCATTTATTGTAACGCAATTTAGTGGCAGTGCAGAAAGGCGTACAGGCGTTGAAGATTGGATAAAGAACCGATGGTGGAAGGCAAGGCACCCTTTAGGTCGTTGTATGAGAGATCGCTGCGAGCAGGAGGAAGGGGAGGGAGAGACGGGGAGAGGGGAGAGATACGGTGGTGAAAGAGGGATGAGTTATAAGTTCCTCTAAGGTGCCTCAAGAGCCGATGGTGGAAGGCAAGGCACCCTCTCAGCCGTTGTATGAGAGATTGCTGCGAGCGGGAGAAGGGGGAGGGAGAGATGAGGAGAGGCGAGAGATACGGTGGTGAGAGAGGGAGAGATGGGGAGAAACATGGGATAGAGGGAGAAAGGGGGAGAGAGGGAGAAAGAGGGAGGGGGATAGAGGAGGACCACACTTCATGGCTAGGTTCACTGGTTGTAAAAACTCAATATTTGTGTGTTGTTTGATACATTGAGTTGGACATGGGAGAAGGTTTAGCGAGTTTGGCTTGGGACGATGTCGTGGAATCTATTTCTTGCTCCCAACCATTTTCACGCAACGAAAATTCTATATCCAAAAATCCCGGTAGGTTCACCATAAACCTGGCAGGCTGTTCCATCCTTCGGCTCGTGACAGACCAGCCACTGACTGGCCATTGTATGCTGATTTGGTAGGTTCACCCCTGGCTCATCATTATTTGGTCACATGTTGGTCATTGCTCATGCAATGCTCATGCATTGCTCATGCATTGCGCATGCTCATCTGTGCACATGCCCATCTCTACATGCTCCCACTCATGTGTGCATGCTCCCACTCATACTCACAGATAGCTCAGCCTGTCCAAGGCACTGATGTAATCTGGAATGGACCCGGTTAAGCCTTTGTTAGACAGATGCCTGGTGGGCAGTGGAATGGAATGGTTGGGGAACATCATTAATCTTATGGTAGTGCTTAGAGCGCTTTCTTTCAATATGAGCCACACAAGCATATTGGAGGGAAACGGAGAATAGAAAGGGGGTTATTAAGTAGGTTAGACAGCATTAACACCTAGTATCACTTACAAATGTCTACCTTCCGTTTCAAATGGACCTTTCGGTTCTGCGGTGACATTTGGAAGGAGAGCATTCATCACAAAAATCAAGTGGCGGAAAACCTCTCGTGAAGTGTGTTTGTTGTGTTTTTGCAGATGATTTGAAGATGTAGGGGTTGGTACTTTTTTAGAAGAAAGTATCGAACTTTTTCCAGATGATATGTCAGATGCTTTGCCAATGATCGGTGTGTTTTTAAACAGTTTGGAAATGGTTGTGAGGAACTTCTCATTGTGTTTGGGATAACTTGTTTAAATCATACTATGTGCTTCAATTTTGGACTTGGATAAGGTTTGCAATTTATTTTTATATGCATAAAATAATCTTGGAAAGGGTTTATGGGGTATTATAAATAAACATAATCAGAGTTTGAAAAACCCAGTTGGTAGTTTCTTTAGCACTTTCCATAAATACACCGTAAGAGGGAAGGCATGTACGTGTAAATCATAATATTAGCTTGAAAAGGTTTACAACACACTAGATGCCTACTTATTCTATGGTTCTTAGCTACTCTACTAATCATCCTTGGTTAATGACACCTGCGCTACTACTACCCACTATCAACCCTAGGTCCATACTCTGCTTGGGTCTTCCTTCTATGCTACTCCCTGCTGCATCCTCCCTTCTGTGCTATTATTTCTTAACCCCGCCCCCTTGATGTCAATCCTTGCTTCGCCCTCATGTTGTTACTACTGTGCTCCCCTCCCTGCTGTTACTCCTGCGCACCTCTCCTTGCTGATACTCCTCTCCTCCCTTCCTCCCTTCCCTGCTGTGGTTCCCCTGCTCCCCTCCCTACTGTGACTCCTCTCCTCCCTTCCCTGCTGTGGTTACCCTGCTCCCCTCTCTGCTGTGGTTTCTCTCCTCCCTTCCCTGCTATGGTTCCTCTCCTCCCCTCCCTGCTGTGGTTCCTCTCCTCCCTTCCCTGCTGTGGTTCCCATGCTCCCCTCCCTGCTATGGTTCCTCTCCTTCCTTCCCTGCTGTGGTTCCTCTGCTCCTCTCCCTACTGTGGTTCTTCTCCTCCCCTCCCTGCTGTGGTTCCCCTGCTCCCCTCCCTGCTGTGACTCCTCTCCTCCCTACCCTGCTGTGGTTCACCTGCTCCCTTCCCTGCTGTGGTTCCTCTCCTCCCTTCCCTGCTGTGGTTCCCCTGCTCCTCTCCCTGCTGTGGTTCCTCTCCTCCCCTCCCTGCTGTGGTTCCTCTCCTCCCCTCCATGCTGTGGTTCCTTCTCCTCCCTTCCCTGCTGTGGTTCCCACGCTCCCCTCCCTGCTATGGTTCCTCTCCTCCCTTCCCTGCTGTGTTTCCCCTGCTCCTCTCCCTGCTGTGGTTCCTCTCCTCCCCTCCCTTCTGTGGTTCCTCTCCTCCCCTCCATGCTGTGGTTCCTCTCCTCCCTTCCCTGCTGTGGTTCCCACGCTCCCCTCCCTGCTATGGTTCCTCTCCTCCCTTCCCTGCTGTGGTTCCCCTGCTCCTCTCTGTTGGTGCAACCCTATGGTTTGCACTCGGCTTGTTGTCCGTGTGCGTGCATGTGTGTGTGTGTATGGAATGGTATGAGGGCATGGGATAATATATATTTCATGCTTATAATTGTGTGTGAATGTTGAGTCATGATGTCGAGTGTGTGTGTTGAGTCAATAGCGAGTTATCGCTAGACGCGTGTTACGCGGTCGTTTGTGTCTCGCGCGGTTTCTATTTTGTCGTGCGCGGTTTCTATTTTGTCCTGTGTCGAACGTTCGGTGTGTCGCAGGTGTGTGCAGCAGACCCATCAAAAAACTCAAGGATGAGTTTGTGATGAAGAGCCCGAGCCTTGGTGTCAAGCCTCAGGTGATTTCAAAGCTCGCCAAAAGGGTACACCTCAAGATATTGAAGATAGTTACATTACTTTGTGTAGTGTAACATTTCACTTGGTGTAGGCCCTAGTGAAGGGTAGTTTCGAGACCCTTCGTGGTTGGGGACAGTGTGGCACTGTTCCACATCACTGTACCTCGGCTCTTGGGGTTTGTAGGAGCTGGGAGTCATTCCCAACTCGTAACTCTTCAGATCTCTTCCTATTTTGTGTTCTAAGACTATAGTGGCTGCCATAGTGCCGTTCGTTCAAACCAACACTGTGTCGTCAATACTTGGTCAAATCGTGCTATCTAAATTGCCTATTGTAGGCGACGTTCAGACACTCCAGATCCAAGTTGAATCAGGTCATTTGAAGTTGTGACCAGAACGCTATGAACGTTTGAAGCCACTGTGCAGAAATCCGGCTGTGCACTCTATCTTTCGTTTTAGGCACATTGGAGCCTATTGTGACTATAACAAGTGGTATCAGAGCGCCTTGGAGCAGTTTCGACAATGGCTGGACATGAGGAAAGGGGTGGCAGAGGTGCTGGTGGTAGAGGAGAAGCCCAAGCTCAAGGCCAACCCCATGACTCAGCCATGGCGCCCGTGCAACCAAGTGTTGGCCCATCTAGGGATGAGCCTAGAGTGTTTGGCCTTGACAAGTTCAATGGTGACAACTTTGCTGAGTGGTCCTTCAGAATGGAGAACATATTTGACCACTATGACCTGCTGGAGGTGATGGAAGGAACGGAGAAGCGTCCCGAGAACGACCCGGAGAAGAGCCCGTGGGTGCGGAAGAGCGCACAAGGCTACCTCCTACTTGGGCAAGCGTTGGGGAGCAGCCAAATCCGTCACATCAAGCCTTTCCAGCGTGAACCAGAGAAGGGACCAAAAGCATGGGCTGCTCTCAAGGGTGTACACGCTCCTGCAACAGCGGCGGTAGCTGTGGTGTTGGAACGGCAAATGGCGACGTTACGAATTGAAGAGGATGAAGCGGTAGAAGAAGGGGTGCAGAAATTCTTCGACTTGTTGACGCGGCTTGAGGGAGCTGATTTGAACTATAGTGAGCTCCAAAAGAAGACCAAGTTGCTGGCCCTACTCCCTGAATCATGGTCCTCGCTCATCATCAACCTCAATCGCGACTTGCCCCGCCTCTCGCTCGAAGACGTGAAGCGGGCTATCCTTCAAGAGGATTTCCGCCGTCGTGAGTTGGCGAGTGCGGATGGCGCTGGGGCAGCGAGCATCGGCCGTGGATATGGTCGAGGAAGAGGCAGAGGAAAAGGGGGAGGAAGGTTTGGTGGCAGCAACTTCGGCGGAGGCCGCGGGAGTGGCGGTTACGGCAGCAATGACAAGAGCTACGGACGCGGTCGCTGGCCGATTCGACGGCGAGTGTCACTATTGCCACAAGAGCGGACACATGTGGCGCGACTGCTACAAACTCCCTGATGGTTGGACCCCTGCTCAAGGCCAAGAGGGTAGAGGAGCAGGAGGAGGGAGAGGACGAGGCCGTAGAGGCCGTGGCGGTCGCGGTGGCGGAGTTGCAAACATGAAGAGCGGAGACAACGACAAGGACCCGAGCGACGATCGATACCCGGGTCTATTCTACTTCGTGTCGACGCAAGCACCGGCTGGTCCAGAGAAGGATGAAGACTTTGAGGAGCCAGCAGCTGTGGGGAAGGTGACCCTACACCCCCTGGACTACTGGGTGATTGATAGTGGCGCTACCTATAGCATGACACCTCGCCCGGACTTGCTCACCGAACTCGAGCCGTCACCGGTGAAGCATGTCACATCGGCTTTGGGGCAGCGAGCAGAGGTGAAAGGCATGGGGAAGGCCATGTTCAAGGGTGCTGATGGGAAGATGGTGGGCCTCAAGAACGTGCTTTGGGTGCCCAGCCTTGCTGCAAACCTGATTTCCGTGCGGCGGTTGGCAAAGGCCGGCATGGACACTAACTCGAAGGGAGCCAAGACCTACACCGCAAGGCTTGGCGATCGAATTCTCTGGGACCTTCATGAGGACAGGGATGTCTACAACGAGATGTGGCAGATTCCAGTGGTCCCTATGCCTAAGGAGAGGCAAGTGGCAGCAAGCATCAGCACCAAGGATGGAGCGGTCGGTAGCGACGATGGCGCGAACGGTCGGCGCTAAGGAGAATGAGCTCAAGAAGAGCAAACCTGGAGGGACCAGCAAGTTCAGTGAACCTAAGGAGAGTGGTGCAGCAGCCAAAGAGCAGCAAAAGGGTGAGGAGAACCCCGAGGCAGCAGCGGAGGAGGACTACGGAGAGAGTATGTGGGGCGCTATTGCGAGCGCGGCATTCTCCAATCCAACTTCGGCTACGGGGGAGTGTGATTGGCTCACCTTGCATCGGCGCATGGGGCATGTGGCCCTGCCTATCTTGCAGCAGCTAGTGAAGAATGAGATGGTTGCTGGTATACGTGTGAAGGGGGAGCCCGATGAGGTGCTTGGCTGCCCGACGTGCATTCAAGCCAAGTTCACCCGGTTTCCGTTCTCTAGTTCGGAGGCAACGGCAAAGGCACCGCTTGATGAGGTGGTGATGGACGTGGTGGGCCCCCTGAAGCTTGGAGCTGCTGGAGCTGAGTATTTTCTCACCATTGTTGACGTCTACACCCGCATGACTTGGGTGTACGTGCTGGCCAAGAAGAGTGACGTGGCTGAAACGTTGAAGGCGGATTGGTTCCCGATGGTGGAGCGGTAACAAGACCGTCTAGTCAAGTCAATCCGCACCGATCGAGGGGGAGAGTTCCTGAGCAAGGAGTTTGGGTTGTGGCTGAAGAAGAATGGTATTCGGCACTCCCTCACCATGCCATACTCCCCTGCAATGAACGGCATCGCCGAGCGAGCGAACCGCACAATCACGGAGGCGGCGCGCGGGTTGCTCATTGAAGCCGGGCTACCCGACTATTTCTGGCCTGATGCGGTGCGGAGCGCGTGTGTGGCCAAGAACAGAGCCTTGACTCATGTGGGAGCAGACAAATGGGTGCCCTATGAGGAGTGGCTAGGAAGGAAGCCAAAGGTGGATATGCTTCGGGTGTTCGGGTGCATGTGCATGGCGCTTGTGCCTAAGCATCTTCGGCACAACAAGCTTGGTGCCAAGGCGGTGTGGGCCGTGCACTTGGGCATGGCTCAAAACAGCAAGGGATGGCTTCTTTGGGACCCATTCACCAAGAAGTTCTTGGTGAGCAGGGACTGCAAGTTCATGGAGAACTTCATGTACAAGGATTGGAAGGCGGAGAATGAGGCGAAGATAGGCGTGCGGTTTGGGGAGGTGAAGAGTTCCGGTTTGGAGCATGTGGAGCTGCCTTTGGAGCTGAGCAGCGGCAGCACAACCACGAGGCAATCCTCCCTTGTGAATGGGGGAGAGGAGGCCAATGATGCAGAGGAAGAAGAGGAGGAGGTGCAGCAAGTGAGCGAGCGTGCACCGTCACTCCCTTCCCGTACCACGAGTGCTCCACGGATTCGAGCCACACCGCAGCAACGCCAAGGCCTTCAAGTCCCTGCAGCTGAGGAGGAAGGAAGGGGGAAGAGGAGAGTTCAACCCCCTAATAGGCTGACCTATGATGCACTTGGAAAGCAAGGCAAGACAGCCCTGGCCGGAGCGGCAATGATGGTCGGAGACGACGAGGAGAGTGACTACGAGGAGTGTGCCTTCGCGTTCTTCTCTCCGGTGGAGATGCCGGGAGAACCAGCAACTCTCAAGGAGGCTTTGGAGAGTAGTGATGCTGAGGAGTGGAAGAAGGCCATGGAGAGTGAGCTGAAGAGCATCGAGGAGAATGACACTGTTTGAATTGGTGGAGCTACCGGAGGGGCGTACGGCGATAACGTCCAAGTGGCTCTTCAAAATCAAGTCGGATGCCGACGGCAAGATCGAGTGTTACAAGTCTAGGCTTGTAGCCAAGGGGTACCAGCAGAAGGAGAAGGTGGACTTCAAGGAGCTGTTTGCCCCTGTGGTGAAGCCGACGACGCTGCGAACCCTATTCGCGGGAGCCGCCATCAAAGGATGGGTGGTGAAGCAAATGGACATTGTGACGGCATTCCTTAACGGCATCCTTGAGGAGGAGATTTTTATGGCGCAGCCAGAGGGGTTTGATGATGGTAGTGGCAGAGTGTGGAAGCTGAAGAAGGCCCTCTATGGGCTGAATCAGGCCCCTAGGCAATGGTACATGAAGCTGCGCGAAGTGTTGGAGGAGATCGGCTTCACTCCCTCAACGGCCGATCACTCCTTGTTCATGCCTGGCGAGGGGGAGCAGAGGAGCTTCATGGTGGTTTATGTGGATGACATTCTCATATTCTCACCCTCCTCTGACCTTGTGAAGGAGGTGATGCTGAAGCTGCATGACAAGTTCAAGTGCAAGTCCCTTGGTGACGTGAACTTCTACCTTGGTCTCCATATCGAACGAGACGTGGAGAAGCGGAGCATGCGAGTGCACCAACGGAAGTACCTGGAGGCGTTGGCTGCCAACTTCGGCCAGAGTGAAGGTCATGTGGCTACTCCCTTTCCCTCTGGGTTCAAGTGTGTGAAGGGGCCAGAGGATGGAGAGCGTTGGAGAAGAGGAGAGGCGCCGATTTCACTCGTTGGTGGGCAGCCTCATGTATGCGGCGGTAAACACCCGACCGGACGTCGCGTTTGCTACCGGGCAGCTGGCTAGGGTTGTGCAATGCCCTAATGAGGAGCAGGTAGCAGCTGGAATGAGGGTGGCCAAGTATCTTGGCCAAACACCGACCGTTGGGCTGCAATACTCGGCGGCGGCACAAAGGCGCCAAAAGGGCGCGGATGGTGTTGAACCCGGGCATTTGTTCCTCACCGCCTACTCGGATGCTTCATATGCATCAGAACCAGAGGACATGACAAGTGTGGGAGGCTTCATATGCTGTGTTGGTGGAGGCCCAACTGCTTGGGAGAGCAAGAAGCAGGTTGACCAAGCTTTGAGCTCGGTGGAGTCCGAGTACATGGCACTCTTCCGTGCCGTACGGGAGATTGTGTGGCAGCGGCGTTTGTTGGCTGAATTGGGGGAGGAGCAGCAAGGACCTACCCCACTGTATTGTGACAGCCAGGGTGCCATTGCTCTTGCTAAAAACCCTGTGTTGCATGGACTCACGAAGCACATGAGGGTGAAGTGGCATTGGACGAGGAGCATGGTAACCGCGGGTGAAGTTGAGTTGCGCTACGTGAAGACCACGGGGCAGCCGGCTGACATGATGACCAAGAGGCTGGTGGAGCAGCAGCATTGGAAGTGTTGCAAGCTGGCTGGGATGGCTCTGAACTGACAGAGCAACATATCCTAAGGCCAACAATCCGAGGGGGAGTTTGTTGGTGCAACCCTATGGTTTGCACTCGGCTTGTTGTCCGTGTGCGTGCATGTGTGTGTGTGTATGGAATGGTATGAGGGCATGGGATAATATATATTTCATGCTTATAATTGTGTGTGAATGTTGAGTCATGATGTCGAGTGTGTGTGTTGAGTCAATAGCGAGTTATCGCTAGACGCGTGTTACGCGGTCGTTTGTGTCTCGCGCGGTTTCTATTTTGTCGTGCGCGGTTTCTATTTTGTCCTGTGTCGAACGTTCGGTGTGTCGCAGGTGTGTGCAGCAGACCCATCAAAAAACTCAAGGATGAGTTTGTGATGAAGAGCCCGAGCCTTGGTGTCAAGCCTCAGGTGATTTCAAAGCTCGCCAAAAGGGTACACCTCAAGATATTGAAGATAGTTACATTACTTTGTGTAGTGTAACATTTCACTTGGTGTAGGCCCTAGTGAAGGGTAGTTTCGAGACCCTTCGTGGTTGGGGACAGTGTGGCACTGTTCCACATCACTGTACCTCGGCTCTTGGGGTTTGTAGGAGCTGGGAGTCATTCCCAACTCGTAACTCTTCAGATCTCTTCCTATTTTGTGTTCTAAGACTATAGTGGCTGCCATAGTGCCGTTCGTTCAAACCAACACTGTGTCGTCAATACTTGGTCAAATCGTGCGATCTAAATTGCCTATTGTAGGCGACGTTCAGACGCTCCAGATCCAAGTTGAATCAGGTCATTTGAAAGTTGTGACCAGAACGCTATGAACGTTTGAAGCCACTGTGCAGAAATCCGGCTGTGCACTCTATCTTTCGTTTTAGGCACATCGGAGCCTATTGTGACTATAACACTCTCCCTGCTGTGGTTCCTCTCCTCCCCTCCCTGCTATGGTTCCTCTCCTCCCCTCCCTGCTATGGTTCCTCTCCTCCCTTCCCTGCTGTGGTTCCCCTGCTCCTCTCCTTGCTGTGGTTCCTCTCCTCCCCTCCCTGCTATGGTTCCCCTGCTCCCCTCCCTTCCCTGCTGTGGTTCACCTGCTCCATTCCCTGCTGTGGTTCCTCTCCTCCCCTCCCTGCTGTGGTTCCCCTGCTCCCCTCCCTGCTGTCACTCCTCTCCTCCCTTCCCTGCTGTGGTTCACCTGCTCCCTTCCCTGCTGTGGTTCCTCTCCTCCCTTCCCTGCTGTGGTTCTCCTGCTCCTCTCCCTGCTGTGGTTCCTCTCCTCCCCTCCCTGCTGTGGTTCCTCTCCTCCCCTCCATGATGTGGTTCCTCTCCTCCCTTCCCTGCTGTGGTTCCCACGCTCCCCTCCCTGCTATGGTTCCTCTCCTCCCTTCCCTGCTGTGGTTCCCCTGCTCCTCTCCCTGCTGTGGTTCCTCTCCTCCCCTCCCTGCTATGGTTCCTCTCCTCCCCTCCATGATGTGGTTCCTCTCCTCCCTTCCCTGCTGTGGTTCCCACGCTCCCCTCCCTGCTATGGTTCCTCTCCTCCCTTCCCTGCTGTGGTTCCCCTGCTCCTCTCCCTGCTGTGGTTCCTCTCCTCCCCTCCCTGCTATGGTTCCCCTGCTCCCCTCCCTTCCCTGCTGTGGTTCACCTGCTCCCTTCCCTGCTGTGGTTCCTCTCCTCCCCTCCCTGCTGTGGTTCCCCTGCTCCCCTCCCTACTGTGACTCCTCACCTCTCTTCCCTGCTGTGGTTCCCCTGCTCCCTTCCCTGCTGTGGTTCCTCTCCTCCCTTCCCAGCTGTGATTCTCCTACTCCTCTCCCTGCTGTGGTTCCTCTCCTCCCTTCCCTGCTGTGGTTCCCACGCTCCCCTCCCTGCTATGGTTCCTCTCCTCCCTTCCCTGCTGTGGTTCCCCTGCTCCTCTCCCTGCTGTGGTTCCTCTCCTCCCCTCCCTGCTATGGTTCCTCTCCTCCCCTCCCTGCTATGGTTCCTCTCCTCCCTTCCCTGCTGTGGTTCCCCTGCTCCTCTCCTTGCTGTGGTTCCTCTCCTCCCCTCCCTGCTATGGTTCCCCTGCTCCCCTCCCTTCACTGCTGTGGTTCACCTGCTCCATTCCCTGCTGTGGTTCCTCTCCTCCCCTCCCTGCTGTGGTTCCCCTGCTCCCCTCCCTGCTGTCACTCCTCTCCTCCCTTCCCTGCTGTGGTTCACCTGCTCCCTTCCCTGCTGTGGTTCCTCTCCTCCCTTCCCTGCTGTGGTTCTCCTGCTCCTCTCCCTGCTGTGGTTCCTCTCCTCCCCTCCCTGCTGTGGTTCCTCTCCTCCCCTCCATGATGTGGTTCCTCTCCTCCCTTCCCTGCTGTGGTTCCCACGCTACCCTCCCTGCTATGGTTCCTCTCCTCCCTTCCTGCTGTGGTTCCCCTGCTCCTCTCCCTGCTGTGGTTCCTCTCCTCCCCTCCCTGCTATGGTTCCTCTCCTCCCCTCCATGATGTGGTTCCTCTCCTCCCTTCCCTGCTGTGGTTCCCACGCTCCCCTCCCTGCTATGGTTCCTCTCCTCCCTTCCCTGCTGTGGTTCCCCTGCTCCTCTCCCTGCTGTGGTTCCTCTCCTCCCCTCCCTGCTATGGTTCCCCTGCTCCCCTCCCTTCCCTGCTGTGGTTCACCTGCTCCCTTCCCTGCTGTGGTTCCTCTCCTCCCCTCCCTGCTGTGGTTCCCCTGCTCCCCTCCCTGCTGTGACTCCTCACCTCTCTTCCCTGCTGTGGTTCCCCTGCTCCCTTCCCTGCTGTGGTTCCTCTCCTCCCTTCCCTGCTGTGATTCTCCTACTCCTCTCCCTGCTGTGGTTCCTCTCCTCCCCTCCCTGGTGTGGTTCCCGTGCTCCTCTCCCTGCTGTGGTTCCTCTCCTCCCCTCCCTGCTGTGGTTCCCCTGTCCCCACATCTGCTCTTACTACAAGCTCGGAGCACTGCAATTCCACCATTCATCTCCTCTAGACATGCACTGACGCCACCCTCCTTGTCGGATTGCGGGGTTGTGGTCTTGGCCTATACTCCTCAAACCCCGACTCATGGACAAACAAGCCAAAATTCCCCCACCTAAACCCCTTCATCCGTGGGTCGTAGACAGGGTTCACCTGGCTGAAATGATCCGTCACCGCCCGCTTCACCGCCCTGCGGATGCTTGCCACCCACCGCGTGTTCTTTCGGTGGGAGTTTGTGAGGTTCATTGTCGACTTCTTGACCTTCGACAAGCCGTAGTCTATCTGCATTGTCAAGAAAGGGGAGCATGGACAGATTCAAGCGTGATAAGTGTGAGAGGTCGGAATCATGTGGGGCAAGCACAACATGCAGTGAAGTACGCCATGAGTGTGAGCATGAAAGGTGATAGAGGAGTGGGGCAGCCTCTGAAAGGAAGAGGAAACCAAAGAGTGTTCGGAAACACGGGAGGGGAAGGATACTGCTGGGTACTGCATGGTCGTGAGGGGATTGGTGAAAAATATAAACAACGTAAGGCCGTGAGTGAAAGCGTGAACCCAGAGTGGGCGCAACTCCAGAGGGCAGGTGGATACCAAGGTTTCAAGAAGCACCTGAGAGGGAGGTGGAAACACGGGGGTTTAAGGTTTACACGGGATGGCACGGGTTTACCAAGGAGAAAAGTGTGGGATGAGAAACAAGTAAAAGGACCCTCACAAGCCACTCACCACCAAGATAGTCCAAGCAATATGATACGCCTTCAAGCATATGTCGTTCCCCACAGCAAATTCACCGAAGGCGTCCATTGCTGCGTTGAAGAAGATCTCGTTGCCGAACGGGAGATCAGTAACCTCAGCATTTCCCCATGTGCTCAGTTGGGCGTCCGCACCTGCAACACACTCGAACGAAGGTGGTTCAAGGGGTGGGGTGTGAAAAGGGAAGAGGGTGGATGGGCTGGCGAATCACAGGTTTCTACAAAGGCGTATGGTTAGGAAATGCCACGCTATGGAGTACAGAATATGGGGTTTCGCAAGAAACGGGTGCTAGGGCTGAGATGGTGAAACAAGGGGGAGGGGGGGAGGGTGGGGGAAAAGGTCAGGCAGGTGTTTACTCACTCGGGCCATACTCCCCCCAGAGATCCTCCTTGAGCTCAGTGTCGATGTGGATTTCCGCTGCCCGCAAGCCACTCATAGGAACCCCCAACCCCTCGAGCACGGTCCGTTTGATGTAAAACCCGCGCTCGTTCTTCCACTGCGTATACACGCGCTTGAATGCATCCCTCCGTGTTTTATCCGCCATGGCCTCCTTCAGCAATATCAATGGAACCACATAATGCTCAGAAATGACTTCATGCAAAACAAGAATCCGCTTCTCAAAGCTTGGGTAGAACGTGACAAGATGGTCCTCAGCTTCCATACACATGCGCTTCCTTGCTTCTTCCATGTACAGCTGTTTAAAATGAGAATGTAGGGTAAACCAAAGAATGGGAATGTGGGGTATTGGGAATGAGTATATGTCACTGCATAGAATGAGACCAGAGGGTGGGATGAGAATGAATCACTGCAGAGAAGGAAACCAGAGAGTGGGAATGTGAATGAGTCACTGCAGAGAATGGGACCAGAGGGTGGGAATGAGAATGAATCAGTGCATAGAACGAAACCAGAGAGTGGGAGACATGCGTGGAATGAGACCAGAGGGTGGGATGAGAATGAATCACTGCAGAGAAGGAAACCAGAGAGTGGGAGTCACTGCAGAGAATGATACCAGAGGGTGGGATGAGAAGGAATCACTGCAGAGAAGGAAACCATAGAGTGGGAGTCACTGCAGAGAATGATACCAGAGGGTGGGATGAGAAGGAATCACTGCAGAGAAGGAAACCAGAGAGTGGGAATGTGAATGAGTCACTGCAGAGAAGGAAACCAGAGAGTGGGAGTCACTGCAGAGAATGAGACCAGAGGGTGGGATGAGAATGAATCACTGCAGAGAAGGAAACCAGAGAGTGGGAATGTGAATGAGTCACTGCAGAGAAGGAAACCAGAGAGTGGGAGTCACTGCAGAGAATGAGACCAGAGGGTGGGATGAGAACGAATCACTGCAGAGAAGGAAACCAGAGAGTGGGAGTCACTGCAGAGAATGAGACCAGAGGGTGGGATGAGAAGGAATCACTGCAGAGAAGGAAACCAGAGATTGGGAATGTGAATGAGTCACTGCAGAGAAGGAAATCAGAGAGTGGGAGTCACTGCAGAGAATGAGACCAGAGGGTGAGATTAGAAAGAATCACTGCAGAGAAGGAAACCAGAGAGTGGGAGTCACTGCAGAGAATGATACCAGAGGGTGGGATGAGAAGGAATCACTGCAGAGAAGGAAACCATAGAGTGGGAATGTGAATGAGTCACTGCAGAGAAGGAAACCAGAGAGTGGGAGTCACTGCAGAGAATGAGACCAGAGGGTGGGATGAGAATGAATCACTGCAGAGAAGGAAACCAGAGAGTGGGAGTCACTGCAGAGAATGAGACCAGAGGGTGGGATGAGAATGAATCACTGCAGAGAAGGAAACCATAGAGTGGGAATGTGAATGAGTCACTGCAGAGAAGGAAACCAGAGAGTGGGAGTCACTGCAGAGAATGAGACCAGAGGGTGGGATGAGAATGAATCACTGCAGAGAAGGAAACCATAGAGTGGGATTCACTGCAGAGAATGATACCAGAGGGTGGGATGAGAAGGAATCACTGCAGAGAAGGAAACCAGAGAGTGGGAGTCACTGCATAGAATGAGACCAGAGGGTGGGATGAGAATGAATCACTGCAGAGAAGGAAACCATAGAGTGGGAGTCACTGCAGAGAATGATACCAGAGGGTGGGTTGAGAAGGAATCACTGCAGAGAAGGAAACCAGAGAGTGGGAATGTGAATGAGTCACTGCAAAGAAGGAAACCAGAGAGTGGGAGTCACTGCAGAGAATGAGACCAGAGGGTGGGATGAGAATGAATCACTGCAGAGAAGGAAACCAGAGAGTGGGAGTCACTGCAGAGAATGAGACCAGAGGGTGGGATGAGAATGAATCACTGCAGAGAAGGAAACCAGAGAGTGGGAGTCACTGCAGAGAATGAGACCAGAGGGTGGGATGAGAATGAATCACTGCAGAGAAGGAAACCATAGAGTGGGAATGTGAATGAGTCACTGCAGAGAAGGAAACCAGAGAGTGGGAGTCACTGCAGAGAATGAGACCAGAGGGTGGGATGAGAATGAATCACTGCAGAGAAGGAAACCATAGAGTGGGATTCACTGCAGAGAATGATACCAGAGGGTGGGATGAGAAGGAATCACTGCAGAGAAGGAAACCAGAGAGTGGGAGTCACTGCATAGAATGAGACCAGAGGGTGGGATGATAAGGAATCACTGCAGAGAAGGAAACCATAGAGTGGGAGTCACTGCAGAGAATGATACCAGAGGGTGGGTTGAGAAGGAATCACTGCAGAGAAGGAAACCAGAGAGTGGGAATGTGAATGAGTCACTGCAGAGAAGGAAACCAGAGAGTGGGAGTCACTGCAGAGAATGAGACCAGAGGGTGGGATGAGAATGAATCACTGCAGAGAAGGAAACCAGAGAGTGGGAGTCACTGCAGAGAATGAGACCAGAGGGTGAGATGAGAATGAATCACTGCAGAGAAGGAAACAAGAGAGTGGGAATGAGAATGAATCACTGCAGAGAATGAGCCCAGAGGGTGGGATGAGAATGAATCACTGCAGAGAAGGAAACCAGAGAGTGGGAATGTGAGCGAGTCATTGCAGAGAATGAGACCAGAGAGTGGGAAAACCTAGACAACTGGAGAAAGAGAATGAAAATGCACCATTGGTCAAACAAAACCATATAATGAGCAAGCCAGCGAGTCAGGTGTGGCAATGGGTAGGAGAAATTGGTGGCACTTACCTTCAAATTAGTCGCGTTTGGCATCCCATGCCTCCTGGTGATGGGAGTGCCTTGTACAGCGCTCTCCGCCACAGCGCCCGGCGTTTCTGGCGGCTCAGGTTGTTCACTGGATATCGAGGTAAGCGGCGGGATTTGCGTCCCATTTCCCTCCCGGTCCACCGAAGGTCCACGACCGGCCTTTAGCTCGGCAATCTGCCGATTAGCTTCCTGCAAAGCCTGGAAGAGTTGCTGCATGGATTCATTAGGAGAATTGATCGAGGGAAGGATGGGCACTCCACTAGCGTTGAGCGGGGAATTGCCTCTTGCCGATGCGAACGGGGGCGGAGTTGCTGGGTCAAAGTGTCCAACTTTCCTGCCATCATTGAACCAATCTCCAACACCACCCGCCTCACCATCTTCCGCCCCTAGCCCCCCACCACAGGCCGGATCGTCACTACCACCGGCTGGATTGTGCGTGTTGTCATGCTGCTGGCCAGCGTTGTCACGCACACTCCGATCTTGAAATCTAGATGCTCTCTTCCCCAACCCTGAGGTGGAAGCAAGGGCAGCATACCGATCGTTGGTTGCTGCCCGTTTCATCCGAACGTTCTCCCGACGATTCGACGGATCAGCATCATCCGAGTTCACCATGATCCTCATATCATTGTAGAAGCCAAGGTCCTGTCTCACAACAGGACGCTCCTTACGATGCCGCTGGGTGTAACCCTCAGTATCTGCTCGCTTTCCTTGAGCACACTCTCTACGTCTCTGCCGTTTATAGCCACTACCAGCCTTACCACCGGTTGCATGACCACGCTTTCCGCTATACTGGTGGTTGCGCGCTCCTCGTGCCCTCCCCCCTCTCCTACCGTCATCATTACTCCCGGACCCAGTTTCAGCGTCATCACTCTCGTCCTCTTCCTCATCATACTTCTCCTCGCTCCCGGATGAACTCCCTGATTCCTCCTCGGAACTATCTTCTCCATCAGAAGATTCGACCTCAGCAACGGCCTTCTTTCCAGCCTTTCTGCACCGTGCCTTCACCCTCCCAGACACCCCCCTCTGATCTTCATGCTCAGCGCCACGGCTCTCCCTCCCACCCTCCTCATGCCCTCGAACATCGTGTGCATCGGCCGCACGAACACCTGCTGGAGTAGAGGGAAAAGACGCATCATGCTTCATATCACGCTCTCCCTCACGCTCTCCCTCACGCTCAGCCTCACGCTCTCCCTCCCGCCTGCCCTCACGCCTGCCTTCACGCCTGCCCTCAAGCCCTCCCTCACGCCTGCCCTCACGCTCTCCATCACGCTCATCCCCACGCTCATGCCCTTTCTCTGGCAGTTGCTCCTTGTCATCTACATCTTCCACAAGTCCTGTTGCACCAGGCGCGTCTTGTCTTTCTCTTTTCATTTTCTTGGCTCCAGCAAGGGTACCTACATAACGCACGAAGTAAGGATGATACGCTCAGTTAATAGGAGGGCAGCACCTCTCTGGATTGGGTGCGAACACATCCAAGTAATTAACGAGCAACTTTAAGACATACAAACTTTAAAAAGCTGGATAAAAGTTCATAGCGTACCTTTCCTCCCTGTAGCAGGTTTGCACTGGTCCAACGGCTTCAGCTTTCGACCGTTCCTCCGCCCTTGTGAACCGCCGCGTCTAACCTTGCCATCGTAGGCCTCTTCTTCAGATTGCTCACTATCCGATGAAGATGCCCCTTCCGATTCCACCTTGGCATCGCAGTGCAGGAAGTATGTTCTTCCGACGATACCGCACAACTAGCTGGGAGGTATCGTGAGGCGTCATCTTGTCGTGCCCCTTCTGTTCCGCGTCGGTTTTCATGGGACCCAAAGGTTGTAAAGCTCCAGCGGCGCTACCGAGGAGCGCACTAGCATTGGCCTGTTCAGAGACGATGATGTCTGCCATCTATCTATCAGTTCTGCTAGACAAGCTTAATGGTTACAAAAGTGAGCTGTTTCTAAGTATCAAGTATCCCATAAATAGGTGTTGGAGACGCAAGGAACAACAGCGCGCAATCGCACTACGTGCCCGCGAAACGCGCCGACGAAAATCGAGCAAGCTAGAACTGCCGCTGGACGCGCCATGCTGGACGCGCCATTGCTGGACGCGCCATGCCTGGACGCGCCGTCAGAGAACATCACGGCCTCGCCAGAGCAGGACGAGGCTACTACGAGAACAGACCGCCGCACCAAAACAGGACGAGACGACTACGAGAACAGACCGCCGCGCCAAAACAGGACGAGCCTACTACGAGAACAGACCGCCGCGCCAAAACAGGAGGAGCCTACTATGAGAACCGGCCGCCATGCCAATGTAGGACGTGCCTACTACGAAAACTGCACCGCAGCGCCAAAGATGGATGAGCCTATTACGAGAACAGCTACGTGACGGCTATTACGTGCTACCACTGACATCTTCTCACTTTGCATCGAGTGCCAGAGGGAACATCAACATTTACTACCAATACTACTACCGTAAATGCATGACGTGCCTACCGTAGGGGTATCGTGACGAGAACCGAACGGCTACCAGCAAGACGAACTAGGTGCTTCGAACGTGGAGCATTTCGTGGTCTCATCTCCCAGCATGGGAATCGGCATGAAGATGCTTGTTCCTGTAACGCATTACCAGGTGGCCCCACGTCGGGTGGTGGTGTTTGGTGCAGCGCAATAGTTTAGCTGCCCTTGAGGTTGCAAGGAAGGCGCTGTCAATGGGGCAATATTTCAAATCCTAAATTGCAGCAGCCTCCCTGGGCTAGAACGTTCGAGCGCCCACAATGCCTGATCGGCACTATAAATGCGAGACTAGTACTAGTAAGTATTTGCACGCGTGAGTACGGGAACTGAACCAAGCCTTGCCGCACACCAAAAAAAAAAAACGCAATGTGACAGCAGCAAACCGCGCCGCGCGTTGTCGGCACACACATGTGCATTTGGAGCCGTGATAGATACAAGACATCGCGGTTCGATAATACCCCGAGTGGTTGCGCTGAAACTTCGATTTTGTGGCACCGCTCTTTGTACCGAGGATGTGACAGGATTGATGCGATAAGATTGTGTCAGAGTTCAGTAATATTGTAAGGTTCACCAAGTCTCGCTTCAATCAAGGTAATCATAGGGTGAGTAGAAAGAATAATCCTGCACACCTAAACTAACAGTCTCATTCCAGCCGCCTAATCGCACACTGGTATACTTCTATGCATTTTCATATTCAAATTTAGGGTGACTACTTGGCGTGACTCACCGTACAATGACTATACCAGTGTTCACACGCCTAGCAACCTTCAAAAAACATTGTGCAATTGTTGAGAGCAAGCACAGTTAGGTTCACATCAACAGCTGGTTTGTCGCGTAGATGTTACAGCGCTGGAGAAGACAGAAACTGCATTGTGTCGACATTATTACGTTCATGGGCCGATACATAGCAACTTATATAGGGCGCTGCAGTAGGAAGATTCTCGTTGAGGTTGCATTTGAACTGTTGTCAGTTGTGCCATGAGTCGGCTTTGTGTAAGTCATGTGTTTATATCCCCAACACATGTGATGTTGTAATACTATCATGGTCGCCTGCCATGCCTCTAGGAGGTTGTTCATGATGCCTGCCCCGCATTCAGCTCATCTGACTACTCATCAAGTTCAGCAAGACCCCAACCACTATGTTATGTTCTGAGTGTATTCACTGACACTATGTAATGCTCGGCTTAGAGCTTACCATCTAGTGCAAATCAATTACCGCACTGTCATGCCAGTTTCCATCAAGCGTCGAGCAGTACGATACAGCAGATCGTCCGGTACTAATGCATGTCAATAACCAACACCAAGCAGGCTTAAGGGCATCAGTCAGCCTGGATCAACCCACATGCATTGTCATAGACACAGGACCACCTAGCCAAATCGTGACGATATTGGCGCCTCCACTGTCTTGGCGTCCCGGCCAAGCCTCACGCATTCAAGCTGTCAAACTTGGTCTCGACAAGCGTATGAATGACACGCATCACATAAACGCCACAGTCATTCTCGTTGTCCTGCTGACGCACCTGCGGTAGGACAAGTATCAGGTGGTTCTTAAGGCTTAGTCACGAGCTGCTTTCAGCCCCCTTGCCCCCCTCCCCCCCCCCACCCCCACCTCCTCCCGTACTCATCCGCGCATCCCATGCCTGTCCATGCGCAGCATGCAACTCCCCCTTCCCCTACTCATCATCCCATGCCTGTCCATGCGCAGCACGCAACTCCCCCTTCCCCTACTCATCATCCCATGCCTGTCCATGCGCAGCACGCAACTCCCCCTTCCCCTACTCATCATCCCATGCCTGTCCATGCGCAGCATGCAACTCCCCCTTCCCCTACTCATCATCCCATGCCTGTCCATGCGCAGCACGCAACCCCCCCTTCCCCTACTCATCATCCCATGCCTGTCCATGCGCAGCACGCAACTCCCCCTTCCCCTACTCATCATCCCATGCCTGTCCATGCACAGCACGCAACCCCCCCTTCCCCTACTCATCATCCCATGCCTGTCCATGCGCCGCACGCAACTCCCCCTTCCCCTACTCATCATCCCATGCCTGTCCATGCGCAGCACGCAACCCCCCCTTCCCCTACTCATCATCCCATGCCTGTCCATGCGCCGCACGCAACCCCGCCTTCCCCTACTCATCATCCCATGCCTGTCCATGCGCCGCACGCAACCCCCCCTTCCCCTACTCATCATCCCATGCCTGTCCATGCGCCGCACGCAACCCCCCCTTCCCCTACTCATCATCCCATGCCTGTCCATGCGCAGCATGCAACTCCCCCGTCCCACTCATCATCCCATGCCTGTCCATGCGCAGCACGCAACCCCCCCTTCCCCTACTCATCATCCCATGCCTGTCCATGCGCCGCACTCAACTCCCCCTTCCCCTACTCATCATCCCATGCCTGTCCATGCGCAGCATGCAACTCCCCCTTCCCCTACTCATCATCCCATGCCTGTCCATGCGCAGCACGCAACCCCCCCTTCCCCTACTCATCATCCCATGCCTGTCCATGCGCAGCATGCCACTCCCCCTTCCCCTACTCATCATCCCATGCCTGTCCATGCGCAGCACGCAACTCCCCCTTCCCCTACTCATCATCCCATGCCTGTCCATGCGCAGCACGCAACTCCCCCTTCCCCTTCTCATCATCCCATGCCTGTCCATGCGCAGCATGCAACTCCCCCTTCCCCTACTCATCATCCCATGCCTGTCCATGCGCAGCACGCAACCCCCCCTTCCCCTACTCATCATCCCATGCCTGTCCATGCGCAGCACGCAACTCCCCCTTCCCCTACTCATCATCCCATGCCTGTCCATGCGCAGCACGCAACCCCCCCTTCCCCTACTCATCATCCCATGCCTGTCCATGCGCCGCACGCAACTCCCCCTTCCCCTACTCATCATCCCATGCCTGTCCATGCGCAGCACGCAACCCCCCCTTCCCCTACTCATCATCCCATGCCTGTCCATGCGCCGCGCGCAACCCCCCCTTCCCCTACTCATCATCCCATGCCTGTCCATGCGCCGCACGCAACCCCCCCTTCCCCTACTCATCATCCCATGCCTGTCCATGCGCCGCACGCAACCCCCCCTTCCCCTACTCATCATCCCATGCCTGTCCATGCGCAGCATGCAACTCCCCCGTCCCACTCATCATCCCATGCCTGTCCATGCGCAGCACGCAACTCCCCCTTCCCCTACTCATCATCCCATGCCTGTCCATGCGCAGCACGCAACTCCCCCTTCCCCTACTCATCATCCCATGCCTGTCCATGCGCAGCATGCAACTCCCCCTTCCCCTACTCATCATCCCATGCCTGTCCATGCGCAGCACGCAACCCCCCCTTCCCCTACTCATCATCCCATGCCTGTCCATGCGCAGCACGCAACTCCCCCTTCCCCTACTCATCATCCCATGCCTGTCCATGCACAGCACGCAACCCCCCCTTCCCCTACTCATCATCCCATGCCTGTCCATGCGCCGCACGCAACTCCCCCTTCCCCTACTCATCATCCCATGCCTGTCCATGCGCAGCACGCAACCCCCCCTTCCCCTACTCATCATCCCATGCCTGTCCATGCGCCGCACGCAACCCCGCCTTCCCCTACTCATCATCCCATGCCTGTCCATGCGCCGCACGCAACCCCCCCTTCCCCTACTCATCATCCCATGCCTGTCCATGCGCCGCACGCAACCCCCCCTTCCCCTACTCATCATCCCATGCCTGTCCATGCGCAGCATGCAGCTCCCCCGTCCCACTCATCATCCCATGCCTGTCCATGCGCAGCACGCAACCCCCCCTTCCCCTACTCATCATCCCATGCCTGTCCATGCGCCGCACTCAACTCCCCCTTCCCCTACTCATCATCCCATGCCTGTCCATGCGCAGCATGCAACTCCCCCTTCCCCTACTCATCATCCCATGCCTGTCCATGCGCAGCACGCAACCCCCCCTTCCCCTACTCATCATCCCATGCCTGTCCATGCGCAGCATGCCACTCCCCCTTCCCCTACTCATCATCCCATGCCTGTCCATGCGCAGCACGCAACTCCCCCTTCCCCTACTCATCATCCCATGCCTGTCCATGCGCAGCACGCAACTCCCCCTTCCCCTTCTCATCATCCCATGCCTGTCCATGCGCAGCATGCAACTCCCCCTTCCCCTACTCATCATCCCATGCCTGTCCATGCGCAGCACGCAACCCCCCTTCCCCTACTCATCATCCCATGCCTGTCCATGCGCAGCACGCAACTCCCCCTTCCCCTACTCATCATCCCATGCCTGTCCATGCGCAGCACGCAACCCCCCCTTCCCCTACTCATCATCCCATGCCTGTCCATGCGCCGCACGCAACTCCCCCTTCCCCTACTCATCATCCCATGCCTGTCCATGCGCAGCACGCAACCCCCCCTTCCCCTACTCATCATCCCATGCCTGTCCATGCGCCGCGCGCAACCCCCCCTTCCCCTACTCATCATCCCATGCCTGTCCATGCGCCGCACGCAACCCCCCCTTCCCCTACTCATCATCCCATGCCTGTCCATGCGCCGCACGCAACCCCCCCTTCCCCTACTCATCATCCCATGCCTGTCCATGCGCAGCATGCAACTCCCCCGTCCCACTCATCATCCCATGCCTGTCCATGCGCAGCACGCAACCCCCCCTTCCCCTACTCATCATCCCATGCCTGTCCATGCGCCGCACTCAACTCCCCCTTCCCCTACTCATCATCCCATGCCTGTCCATGCGCAGCATGCAACTCCCCCTTCCCCTACTCATCATCCCATGCCTGTCCATGCGCCACACGCAACTCCCCCTTCCCCTACTCATCATCCCATGCCTGTCCATGCGCAGCACGCAACCCCCCCTTCCCCTACTCATCATCCCATGCCTGTCCATGCGCAGCATGCCACTCCCCCTTCCCCTACTCATCATCCCATGCCTGTCCATGCGCAGCACGCAACTCCCCCTTCCCCTACTCATCATCCCATGCCTGTCCATGCGCAGCATGCAACTCCCCCTTCCCCTACTCATCATCCCATGCCTGTCCATGCGCCACACGCAACTCCCCCTTCCCCTACTCATCATCCCATGCCTTTCCATGCGCAGCACGCAACCCCCCCTTCCCCTACTCATCATCCCATGCCTTTCCATGCGCAGCACGCAACCCCCCCTTCCCCTACTCATCATCCCATGCCTGTCCATGCGCAGCATGCCACTCCCCCTTCCCCTACTCATCATCCCATGCCTGTCCATGCGCAGCACGCAACTCCCCCTTCCCCTACTCATCATCCCATGCCTGTCCATGCGCAGCATGCAACTCCCCCTTCCCCTACTCATCATCCCATGCCTGTCCATGCGCAACACGCAACCCCCCCTTCCCCTACTCATCATCCCATGCCTGTCCATGCGCCACACGCAACTCCCCCTTCCCCTACTCATCATCCCATGCCTGTCCATGTGCCGCACGCAACCCCCCCTTCCCCTACTCATCATCCCATGCCTGTCCATGCACCGCACGCAACCCCCCCTTCCCCTACTCATCATCCCATGCCTGTCCATGCGCCGCACGCAACCCCCCCTTCCCCTACTCATCATCCCATGCCTGTCCATGCGCAGCATGCAACTCCCCCGTCCCCTACTCATCATCCCATGCCTGTCCATGCGCAGCACGCAACCCCCCCTTCCCCTACTCATCATCCCATGCCTGTCCATGCGCCGCACGCAACTCCCCCTTCCCCTACTCATCATCCCATGCCTGTCCATGCACCGCACGCAACCCCCCCTTCCCCTACTCATCATCCCATGCCTGTCCATGCGCCGCACGCAACCCCCCCCTCCCCTACTCATCATCCCATTCCTGTCCATGCGCCGCACGCAACCCTCCCTTCCCCTACTCATCATCCCATTCCTGTCCATGCGCAGCATGCAACTCCCCCTTCCCCTACTCATCATCCCATGCCTGTCCATGCGCAGCATGCAACTCCCCCTTCCCCTACTCATCATCCCATGCCTTTCCATGCGCAGCACGCAACCCCCCCTTCCCCTACTCATCATCCCATGCCTGTCCATGCGCAGCATGCAACTCCCCCTTCCCCTACTCATCATCCCATGCCTGTCCATGCGCAGCACGCAACTCCCCCTTCCCCTACTCATCATCCCATGCCTGTCCATGCGCAGCATGCAACTCCCCCTTCCCCTACTCATCATCCCATGCCTGTCCATGCGCAGCACGCAACCCCCCCTTCCCCTACTCATCATCCCATGCCTGTCCATGCGCCACACGCAACTCCCCCTTCCCCTACTCATCATCCCATGCCTGTCCATGCGCAGCATGCAACTCCCCCTTCCCCTTACTCATCATCCCATGCCTGTCCATGCGCAGCACGCAACTCACCCTTCCCCTACTCATCATCCCATGCCTGTCCATGCGCAGCACGCAACCCCCCCTTCCCCTACTCATCATCCCATGCCTGTCCATGCGCCGCACGCAACTCCCCCTTCCCCTACTCATCATCCCATGCCTGTCCATGCGCAGCACGCAACCCCCCCTTCCCCTACTCATCATCCCATGCCTGTCCTTGCGCCGCACGCAACTCCCCCTTCCCCTACTCATCATCCCATGCCAGTCCATGCGCAGCACGCACCTCCCCCTTCCCCTACTCATCCGCGCATCCAATGCCTGTCCATGAGCGGCCTGTCCCACACCAATCCTCCTTTTTGCACGGGCCGTGAATTCACATACCACAATGGTGTTTAACTGAATCGCTGCTGCCCATGCTTTTGCTTCTGTCTCCGTGACCCATGCGTAGCGCTGCATTGCTTGATTCATCAAATACCTGCGCATTAAGACGTACTGCTTGTTAACATCGGTCGAGAACAACAGTGTTTCATACGCAGCACATCACATTTCTCACTTTCTCAATGGTCCATCAATGTCGACGTGAGTTGCATATGAGTCCGCATGCCACAGGTCACACTTGATCGGGATAAGGGATCCCGGAGCGTGGGTAATTTCGATAACAACAAGACTCCAGTGCGCACTGCCATGTAATCGAGACATCCAAAATCGTTAGTTTGCAGGACATGTTTACGTTCAACACATGAATAAAAAGACCCTACCACTTACTCCTTGTTAATCGGAACAAGAACGTGCTTAAACGACAAGATGTCTAGTCCATAGGCCTGCCTTGTGATCCTCTTCGACCCCGGGCGTGCTACGAGTGTCCAGAAATAAGGCGATGTGCAAAGCCACGACGCATTGTCATATCCGTACTCGTAGTGTAACATACTGCAGGATCGACGTGAAAATATACAAAGTCGGTGGAGCTCGTGAGAAACTAAAAACAAGGGTCAACAAATCAGTTTGCTATGTGTTCAACACAGAGCCACTCACGATGAGAGCCACTCGATAATCGTGCCACTGACCCACTGCTCGTTTTTCAGCGTGCGGTAATCTGAGGGCTTGATTTCAAGGGATCCCCCGAACGGGGATGGCATGCGCATGTGCCGGAAACTACATCGCGCTAACTTGGGTATGCCCTTCTCCTCCATATCTTGAGATAACAAACTCAGCTTGAGCAGGATCGTGCCTTAGGTGAGGGTCGACATTCCGTGGCCCAGCCAACGGAAAGTCTAAGGAAATACTGTAGTTCCTGAAGAAGGACCCACACGCCCTTGCCCTTCGTTCGTCAAGTTTGTGATTCCCTGCTCCCATGCGTCGACAACGAATAGCCTGTTCATACTTGGTGAACAGTGTTGGGTGGTCTGACAGAATTCCCTGCTCCAATGACATTGTTCGGCTTGTTTTTTTCTGACACACAATTGGCGTGTACGCGAATATGATGTCAGGTCCATGTCGCAAGCGGAAATGACCCTCGCCAACTTGTTTGCAGTTGGGTACAAAACCTAGTCAAGGTGCAGCGACGAGTAAGCAGTTTATGTGCGCGAAAACAGTTACACCAAGAGATGTTGAGTATGGGAGTCGCATGGCGCTCTCGCCAATCTTCACGGTTGTCGCGCACCAATAAACAGGAGGACCGAACACTTCGAGCTGCACATCACAAACCCTAACCAACTGCAATCCCACTACTGACACTCGATGACCAATGGCCAATCATGATCACCGGAAACATGAGTTCAGACTCAGATTGCCCCTTCGTGTTCGCGCCAAATCCCTATCCTCGCCTTTCGGTAAACTATCATCCATACGATGGGCGCTATCTCACCACGGTGCAGTGTTACCATTCACATCTCAAGCTCGTGTGCCAAACACCCTTTCAGTCTTACGGACAGATCTGCTCGATGGAGGCTCAGGCTTGTGAGTTCTGCAATAAGCGCGTGTACTGCTATCAATACGTAAGTAGCCATCAAGCTAACCATGACGGATGTAAGCGGGCCCAAAAACGCAAGGCCGAAGAGGATGCTAAACGTAAGAAACTAGACCGTGGCGTTGAGAAGCAGTATACATTGGTTCCGTTAGCAACAGCCACCCTTCCCGCGCCAGCGCATTCAATTCCCTTAGCGGCACTTCCGAACGCAGTAGAGCAGCACCCGCAGCCGGCAGAGCGAGTTCCTGATGCGGTTCGTACGTGCAGCACCACACTCGTGGTGGAAGAAGCTCCTACAGAGGAAATTCTTGATGTTAAGGCGGAAATATGCATTTTGGCACGATCTCACGACCTTACCAACGGGGCGATAAACGACACAATACAGTTAGTTAGACATCCGAAATTAGATCCAAAGCAGCTGGACGATTGGAACAGCTACAGGGACCTGGAGAAGTACGAGAACAGCTTTGACCTTGGAGCGGAGAATGAATGGATCGTCGAGGAGATCGAGGTGGATCACGAGGTTGGGTTTCTCACCTTCAAGCGCCGTAACGCGATAACTGTGAGTGTATCCATGCGTGCTGGGTCACGTTTGTCACCCTGGAATGTGTTTGTTGAGACCGACTAAACCATCAGTCCAAATGGAACCATCAATCCTACGCTTTTGTTTTCCGTCATTGTTTCCATAATTATCACCATCAGCTCCTTCAGTCCATGTTCAAGAAGATGTCCGCTGTCAAGGGATTCAGCATCATGCCTCAAGAGTGGAAGGTGGATGGGGTTCGCCGCTACAGTACCCCTGCAAACACGGATTGGATGCTCGAGGCTTGGGTAAGTTCCACGCCATCTCATGTCGCGTTGGACACGAGCATTGAAACCTAGGATCCAATACGTCTTTCCTTCCCTTTATCATCACTGTGGCAGGAAAGGGTGCGGAAGTTTGGCATAGTTATAGCTCTCATTTTGTTTTCGGACCAGACCAATCTATCGTACAACGGGCGCCAATCTGCCCACCCATTTCTGTTGTCCTTTGGGAACATTCCTGAATGGGCTAGGTGGCTTGAAGGAGGCACTGAGCTTCTCGGGCTCCTGCCTAACATCCCAGCTGACCTCTCGCCAGAAGAGAAGGTTCGAGTGTTCCAGGACGCTGCAGAGATCATGATTCGAGATTTGAAGGCGGCTTCACATCTTTCAGGGTGAGACACTGCTACTCTCGCCCAAAGGCGCGCATCCCTTGTACTCTCCAGAATCCACCACACTACCCTACTTATTTTCATTGCCTGTCTAATACACACTCCCCTCCCTTTTTGACCCCCCTTCTCCTCTGTTCTTCTTTCGCATGCGCGCCACGACGTAGGATTCAGTCGAAAGTACTCTGCTCCCAGCCACCATGCTTCACCTAATACCATTCGGGTTCCTCCCGTACCACCGTCTCCTGCCGTTGAAACCATCCCTGCTTGCTGTCCCCCTCCTCCTAACCGTCCTTCATCTGCTTGCTTACAGCAACCCATGCTCACACCATCACTGACATATCTAACATGGTCTCCCATCCTTGCCATACCCCCCCCTGCTTTACCCCTCATCCTGGCGGCTGTGCAGGGGCGGTGTGAAGGTGGAAGACAGTGCCGGGGTGCAGTATAGTGCATTCACGCTCCTTTATTCATGGGTGGCCGATCACCCGGAGTCTTCTAAGATCACCTGTACGATGGCATGCAACTCACACCATCCGTGCTCGTTGTGCTTGGCTGAAAAGGAGGGCCTGGATGAGTTGAACTTTGAGTTGACTCATCAGCCAACTGATAAGAAGCGCCCGGATGAGCAGGATGAGACCATTATCCCCAGAAATGTCGAGGGTCTGAAGGAATCTGCGGAAACCAAAAAGAAGCAGGAAGACACCATTGTCCTTAGAACTGTCAAGGGTCAGAAGGATTTTCACAAGGAGATGAAAGCCGCAAAGACCAAAAAGGAGCTGAAGGCGGTGAAGAAGAAGTCCTCTACACACTTTGTGAAGGTGCGCCTTGCCCAGCTTGCTCCGCGTGCATCCTTGTGGTTCTCATATGGTTTCCCTCCGTATCCACCATATAGTGCTGTGGCTAGTGTGCCCGGAAACCTACTCCGATCTGCATCTTGCTGTTCATATTTATTATCCTGACCCGCCATAGTGAGTTTGTGCCCTTGACCCCCGACGCAGAGCCTTTTGTGGGACTGGGAATTCGCAAAAACTCTCTGGGGCAACACGTACCTTGCTGTGCCCCCGGACATCATGCACATCTGGGAGCAGGGCATATGGCTGCATGCCATGAAGTGCCTGGTGAAGAAGCTGACCCCGAGGGAACGGAAGATTCTTCTGGAGTGAGTTGTTCCGCGCCTTGCTTCATGCTACTCCCCTCCGTGCTTGCTTTCCGCGCCCTGCTTCATGCTACTCCCCTCCGTGCTTGCTTTCCGCGCCCTGCTTCATGCTACTCCCCTCCGTGCTTGCTTTCCGCGCCCTGCTTCATGCTACACCCCTCCGTGCTTGCTGTCCGTGCTTTGACTAACTGTTACTCACGCCTAGGCGATACAAGATTTTGAAGGAGGCCACACCAGCTTCCGTGCTACGTCTTCCTTCGGCGTGGGCCTACTTCACATCCACTGCCTGCTTTTCAGCTGCAGAGCATCGGGCGATGATGCAGGTCCTGCCCCTCATCATCAACCTCTCAGGACGAGATGATATCCGCACGGCCATTGTCAAGATGGTCGAGTGGTACAAGGAGTTCATCCGCGCTGAGTACCACACCGACGAATCTCTGGAACGGATGAAAGACGCCACCATCAAGTAATAATTCCGTCTGTTATGTGGTTTCCCAGGCCCATCTTCTCCCTCTGCACTGCATCGCTGTCCCTCCATAACCCATCTCCGTGCTCCCTCCTTCCGTGTTTCTGTTTTCGATGTCTGCTTCCTCACTCCCCCTCCCGCATCCCGTTTCTCCGTTCCCGGCCTGCATTCCCCGTCTTAACTGCATGCCTTGTATCTAAATTTTCTCCAGGATGGTGAAGGCTCTTCGTGTCGCTTTCCCTAAGCAGAAGTCGAAGTGGAAAATTGTTAAGATTCATCTTCTCGTTCACCTCCCATCAACAATCCGTATGAGGGGGATCCCTGCCGAGTACTCGTCAAACTGCTACGAGCACTCCCACAAGACCACTGTGAAGCGTCCTTCACGAGGCACGAACTGGAAGAATGTTGAAGATCGAATCGTCCGGAAACACCTGGAGCATGCGGTGGTTAGGCAACTCGCGCGGGAGGCCGGAGGGGACAGCACGTACGAGACCTCGATGAAAGAGGTGAGTTTCACGAACCTGCTCTGTTCCCCTGCACCCCGTCGTCTGCTAAATTTCCCTATTTTAATCCCATGCTGTGATCTCCTGAAGTGATGCCATGCTCTGTTCTCTTGCTCGGTTCCCCTCCTCTGTTCCGCTGCTCTGTTTCCCTGCTCGGTTCTCTTGCTCTCTCCCCCTGCTCTGTTTCCCTGCTCGGTTCTCCTTCTCTCTCTCCCTGCCCTGTTCCTCTAGTCATTTCCCCTTCTTTGTTATCTGCTCTGTTTCCCAGCTGTGTTCCCTACTGTGTCTTCCCCGCTCTGTTCCCTGCAGTGTTATCCTCTGGCATATTCCGTTCTGTGTCTGCCCTGCTTTGTGGCCTGTTGTATTCCCTTCAGTTTCCCTGCTATGCTCCCTTATGTGTCTGCCCTGCTCTGTGCCATGTTCAGTTTGCCCGAGCTCGGTTCTCATGCTCTCTCCCCTGCCCTGTTTCCCTGCTCGGTTCTCATGCTCCCTCCCCTGCCCTGTTTCCCTGCTCGGTTCTCATGCTCTTTCCTGCTCTGTTTCGCTGCCCGGGTCTCATGCTCTCCCCCCATGCTCTTTTTCCCTGCTCGGCTCTCTTGCTCTCTCACACTGCTCCGTTCCCCTCGTCATTTCCCCTTCTTTGTTATCCGCTCTGTTACCCTGCTATGTTCCATGCTGTGTCTCCCCTACTCGGTGCCCTGTTCTGTTTCCCTGCTCTGTTCCCTGCGCTGTTACCCTGCCATGTTCCGTTCTGTGTCTGCCCTGCTCTGTGCCCTGCTCTGTTCCCTTCACCGTTTCCCTGATTTGTTCACATCTGTGTCTGCCCACCTCTGTGCCCCGCTCTGTTCCCTTCATCGTTTCCCTGATTCGTTCACTTCTGTGTCTGCCCTGCTATGTGCCCCTCTCTGTTCCCTTCACTGTTTCCCTGATTTGTTCACTTCTGTGTCTGCCCTGCTATGTGCCCCGCTCTGTTCCCTTCACTGTTTCCCAGATTTGTTCACTTCTGTGTCTGCCCTGCTCTGTGCCACGTTCTGTTCGCTCGTCTCTTTGCCCGCACTTCTGTTTCCATGCTCTCTGCATGAGTTGGCAATGACATGTAGGACCAACCTAACCAAAGTCATCGATTCCTACCCCCCCATAACCTTCTTCGTCCCCACAACCTTTCCCCCTTTCCCCCACACCCATTCCCACTTCGTGGCCTTTCCCTTCTTCGCCTACACCTCGCATCCATCCCCTATCCCCCCCCCCTCCTCCTCCCTCCAAAAGGACTCACCATACAACCCTCCCCCTCCCTAAACCAACCCTCTCCTCTCCACGGTGACAGGCATGCCTTGCTGGCCAGAGGGTGCTTACTAAGACCCACAAGAAGATGGTCCTGGGGGACATCACCGACTCAGTGTTTCGGAGCTACGTCTTGACTGTTGGTGAACCCGCCATGAGTGCGATGGTTCTGCGACTCAGACGGGCAGGCATCAACACGCAAGTTTTGCAGGTGCATTCCCGGTCGTATGGATATGCCATTTTTTCTCACTGCCCCCACTTCCCCCTCTCCTGCATGCTTTCCACCCACTCCAGCCCCCCTTCCCCCTCTCCTGCATGCTTTCCACCCACCTTAGCCCTCATTCCCCCTCTCCTGCATGCTTTCCACCCACTCCAGCCCCACTTCCCCCTCTCCTGCATGCTTTCCACTCACTCCAGCCGCACTTCCCCCTCTCCTGCATGCTTTCCACCCACTCCAGCCCCCCTTCCCCCTCTCCTGCATGCTTTCCACTCACTCCAGCCCCCCTTCCCCCTCTCCTGCATGCTTTCCACCCACTCCAGCCCCCCTTCCCCCTCTCCTGCATGCTTTCCACTCACTCCAGCCCTCCTTCCCTCTCTCCTGCATGCTTTCCACCCACTCCAGCCCCCCTTCCCCCTCTCCTGCATGCTTTCCACCCACTCCAGCCCCCCTTCCCCCTCTCCTGCATGCTTTCCACCCACTCCAGCCCCCCTTCCCCCTCTCCTGCATGCTTTTCCACCCACTCCAGCCCCCCTTCCCCCTCTCCTGCATGCTTTCCACCCACTCCAGCCCCCCTTCCCCCTCTCCAAAATGCTTTCCACCCACTCCAGCCCCCCTTCCCCCTCTCCAAAATGCTTTCCACCCACTCCAGCCCCCTTTCCCCCTCTCCTGCATGCTTTCCACCCACTCCAGCCCCCCTTCCCCCTCTCCTGCATGCTTTCCACCCACCTTAGCCCCCATTCCCCCTCTCCTGCATGCTTTCCACCCACTCCAGCCCCCATTCCCCCTCTCCTGCATGCTTTCCACCCACTCCAGCCCTACTTCCCCCTCTCCTGCATGCTTTCCACCCACTCCAGCCCCCCTTCCCCCTCTCCTGCATGCTTTCCACCCACTCCAGCCCCCCTTCCCCCTCTCCTGCATGCTTTCCACTCACTCCAGCCGCACTTCCCCCTCTCCTGCATGCTTTCCACCCACTCCAGCCCCCCTTCCCCCTCTCCCTGCATGCTTTCCACCCACTTTAGCCCCCCTTCCCCCTCTCCTGCATGCTTTCCACCCACTCCAGCCCCCATTCCCCCTCTCCTGCATGCTTTCCAACCACTCCAGCCCCACTTCCCCCTCTCCTGCATGCTTTCCACCCACTTTAGCCCCCCTTCCCCCTCTCCTGCATGCTTTCCACCCACTCCAGCCCCACTTCCCCCTCTCCTGCATGCTTTCCACCCACTCCAGCCCCACTTCCCCCTCTCCTGCATGCTTTCCACCCACTCCAGCCCCACTTCCCCCTCTCCTGCATGCTTTCCACCCACTCCAGCCCCCCTTCCCCCTCTCCTGCATGCTTTCCACCCACTCCAGCCCCACTTCCCCCTCTCCTGCATGCTTTCCACCCACTCCAGCCCCCCTCCCCCCTCTCCTGCATGCTTTCCACCCACCTTAGCCCCCATTCCCCCTCTCCTGCATGCTTTCCACCCACTCCAGCCCCCTTTCCCCCTCTCCTGCATGCTTTCCACCCACTCCAGCCCCCCTTCCCCCTCTCCAAAATGCTTTCCACCCACTCCAGCCCCCCTTCCCCCTCTCCTGCATGCTTTCCACCCACTCCAGCCCCACTTCCCCCTCTCCTGCATGCTTTCCACCCACTCCAGCCCCCCCTCCCCCTCTCCTGCATGCTTTCCACCCACTCCAGCCCCACTTCCCCCTCTCCTGCATGCTTTCCACCCACTCCAGCCCCCCTTCCCCCTCTCCTGCATGCTTTCCACCCACCTTAGCCCCCATTCCCCCTCTCCTGCATGCTTTCCACCCACTCCAGCCCCCATTCCCCCTCTCCTGCATGCTCTCCACCCACTCCAGCCCCACTTCCCCCTCTCCTGCATGCTTTCCACCCACTCCAGCCCCCCTTCCCCCTCTCCTGCATGCTTTCCACCCACTCCAGCCCCCCTTCCCCCTCTCCTGCATGCTTTCCACTCACTCCAGCCGCACTTCCCCCTCTCCTGCATGCTTTCCACCCACTCCAGCCCCCCTTCCCCCTCTCCTGCATGCTTTCCACTCACTCCAGCCCCCCTTCCCCCTCTCCTGCATGCTTTCCACCCACTCCAGCCCCCCTTCCCCCTCTCCTGCATGCTTTCCACTCACTCCAGCCCTCCTTCCCTCTCTCCTGCATGCTTTCCACCCACTCCAGCCCCCCTTCCCCCTCTCCTGCATGCTTTCCACCCACTCCAGCCCCCCTTCCCCCTCTCCTGCATGCTTTCCACCCACTCCAGCCCCCCTTCCCCCTCTCCTGCATGCTTTTCCACCCACTCCAGCCCCCCTTCCCCCTCTCCTGCATGCTTTCCACCCACTCCAGCCCCCCTTCCCCCTCTCCAAAATGCTTTCCACCCACTCCAGCCCCCCTTCCCCCTCTCCAAAATGCTTTCCACCCACTCCAGCCCCCTTTCCCCCTCTCCTGCATGCTTTCCACCCACTCCAGCCCCCCTTCCCCCTCTCCTGCATGCTTTCCACCCACTCCAGCCCCACTTCCCCCTCTCCTGCATGCTTTCCACCCACTCCAGCCCCCATTCCCCCTCTCCTGCATGCTTTCCACCCACTCCAGCCCCACTTCCCCCTCTCCTGCATGCTTTCCACCCACTCCAGCCCCCCTTCCCCCTCTCCTGCATGCTTTCCACCCACTCCAGCCCCCCTTCCCCCTCTCCTGCATGCTTTCCACTCACTCCAGCCCCCCTTCCCCCTCTCCTGCATGCTTTCCACCCACTCCAGCCCCCCTTCCCCCTCTCCTGCATGCTTTCCACTCACTCCAGCCGCACTTCCCCCTCTCCTGCATGCTTTCCACCCACTCCAGCCCCCCTTCCCCCTCTCCTGCATGCTTTCCACCCACTCCAGCCCCCCTTCCCCCTCTCCTGCATGCTTTTCCACCCACTCCAGCCCCCCTTCCCCCTCTCCTGCATGCTTTCCACCCACTCCAGCCCCCCTTCCCCCTCTCCAAAATGCTTTCCACCCACTCCAGCCCCCCTTCCCCCTCTCCAAAATGCTTTCCACCCACTCCAGCCCCCTTTCCCCCTCTCCTGCATGCTTTCCACCCACTCCAGCCCCCCTTCCCCCTCTCCAAAATGCTTTCCACCCACTCCAGCCCCCCTTCCCCCTCTCCTGCATGCTTTCCACCCACTCCAGCCCCACTTCCCCCTCTCCTGCATGCTTTCCACCCACTCCAGCCCCCCTTCCCCCTCTCCTGCATGCTTTCCACCCACTCCAGCCCCCCTTCCCCCTCTCCTGCATGCGTTCCACCCACTCCAGCCCCCCTTCCCCCTCTCCTGCATGCTCTCCACCCACTCCAGCCCCACTTCCCCCTCTCCTGCATGCTTTCCTCCCACTCCAGCCCCCCTTCCACCTCTCCTGCATGCTTTCCACCCACTCCAGCCCCCCTTCCCCCTCTCCTGCATGCTTTCCACCCACTCCAGCCCCCCTTCCCCCTCTCCTGCATGCTTTTCCACCCACTCCAGCCCCCCTTCCCCCTCTCCTGCATGCTTTCCACCCACTCCAGCCCGCCTTCCCCCTCTCCAAAATGCTTTCCACCCACTCCAGCCCCCCTTCCCCCTCTCCAAAATGCTTTCCACCCACTCCAGCCCCCTTTCCCCCTCTCCTGCATGCTTTCCACCCACTCCAGCCCCCCTTCCCCCTCTCCTGCATGCTTTCCACCCACCTTAGCCCCCATTCCCCCTCTCCTGCATGCTTTCCACCCACTCCAGCCCCCATTCCCCCTCTCCTGCATGCTTTCCACCCACTCCAGCCCTACTTCCCCCTCTCCTGCATGCTTTCCACCCACTCCAGCCCCCCTTCCCCCTCTCCTGCATGCTTTCCACCCACTCCAGCCCCCCTTCCCCCTCTCCTGCATGCTTTCCACTCACTCCAGCCGCACTTCCCCCTCTCCTGCATGCTTTCCACCCACTCCAGCCCCCCTTCCCCCTCTCCTGCATGCTTTCCACCCACTTTAGCCCCCCTTCCCCCTCTCCTGCATGCTTTCCACCCACTCCAGCCCCCATTCCCCCTCTCCTGCATGCTTTCCAACCACTCCAGCCCCACTTCCCCCTCTCCTGCATGCTTTCCACCCACTTTAGCCCCCCTTCCCCCTCTCCTGCATGCTTTCCACCCACTCCAGCCCCACTTCCCCCTCTCCTGCATGCTTTCCACCCACTCCAGCCCCACTTCCCCCTCTCCTGCATGCTTTCCACCCACTCCAGCCCCACTTCCCCCTCTCCTGCATGCTTTCCACCCACTCCAGCCCCCCTTCCCCCTCTCCTGCATGCTTTCCACCCACTCCAGCCCCACTTCCCCCTCTCCTGCATGCTTTCCACCCACTCCAGCCCCCCTTCCCCCTCTCCTGCATGCTTTCCACCCACCTTAGCCCCCATTCCCCCTCTCCTGCATGCTTTCCACCCACTCCAGCCCCCTTTCCCCCTCTCCTGCATGCTTTCCACCCACTCCAGCCCCCCTTCCCCCTCTCCAAAATGCTTTCCACCCACTCCAGCCCCCCTTCCCCCTCTCCTGCATGCTTTCCACCCACTCCAGCCCCACTTCCCCCTCTCCTGCATGCTTTCCACCCACTCCAGCCCCCCCTCCCCCTCTCCTGCATGCTTTCCACCCACTCCAGCCCCACTTCCCCCTCTCCTGCATGCTTTCCACCCACTCCAGCCCCCCTTCCCCCTCTCCTGCATGCTTTCCACCCACCTTAGCCCCCATTCCCCCTCTCCTGCATGCTTTCCACCCACTCCAGCCCCCATTCCCCCTCTCCTGCATGCTCTCCACCCACTCCAGCCCCACTTCCCCCTCTCCTGCATGCTTTCCACCCACTCCAGCCCCCCTTCCCCCTCTCCTGCATGCTTTCCACCCACTCCAGCCCCCCTTCCCCCTCTCCTGCATGCTTTCCACTCACTCCAGCCGCACTTCCCCCTCTCCTGCATGCTTTCCACCCACTCCAGCCCCCCTTCCCCCTCTCCTGCATGCTTTCCACCCACTCCAGCCCCCCTTCCCCCTCTCCTGCATGCTTTCCACTCACTCCAGCCCCCCTTCCCCCTCTCCTGCATGCTTTCCACCCACTCCAGCCCCCCTTCCCCCTCTCCTGCATGCTTTCCACTCACTCCAGCCGCACTTCCCCCTCTCCTGCATGCTTTCCACCCACTCCAGCCCCCCTTCCCCCTCTCCTGCATGCTTTCCACCCACTCCAGCCCCCCTTCCCCCTCTCCTGCATGCTTTTCCACCCACTCCAGCCCCCCTTCCCCCTCTCCTGCATGCTTTCCACCCACTCCAGCCCCCCTTCCCCCTCTCCAAAATGCTTTCCACCCACTCCAGCCCCCCTTCCCCCTCTCCAAAATGCTTTCCACCCACTCCAGCCCCCCTTCCCCCTCTCCTGCATGCTTTCCACCCACTCCAGCCCCCCTTCCCCCTCTCCAAAATGCTTTCCACCCACTCCAGCCCCCCTTCCCCCTCTCCTGCATGCTTTCCACCCACTCCAGCCCCACTTCCCCCTCTCCTGCATGCTTTCCACCCACTCCAGCCCCCCTTCCCCCTCTCCTGCATGCTTTCCACCCACTCCAGCCCCCCTTCCCCCTCTCCTGCATGCGTTCCACCCACTCCAGCCCCCCTTCCCCCTCTCCTGCATGCTCTCCACCCACTCCAGCCCCACTTCCCCCTCTCCTGCATGCTTCCTCCCACTCCAGCCCCCTTCCCCCTCTCCTGCATGCTTTCCACCCACTCCAGCCCCCCTTCCCCCTCTCCTGCATGCTTTCCACCCACTCCAGCCCCCCTTCCCCCTCTCCTGCATGCTTTCAACCACTCCAGCCCCCCTTCCCCCTCTCCTGCATGCTCTCCACCCACTCCAGCCCCACTTCCCCCTCTCCTGCATGCTTTCCACCCACTCCAGCCCCCCTTCCCCCTCTCCTGCATGCTTTCCACTCACTCCAGCCGCACTTCCCCCTCTCCTGCATGCTTTCCACCCACTCCAGCCCCCTTCCCCCTCTCCTGCATGCTTTCCACCCACTTTAGCCCCCCTTCCCCCTCTCCTGCATGCTTTCCACCCACTCCAGCCCCACTTCCCCCTCTCCTGCATGCTTTCCACCCACTCCAGCCCCACTTCCCCCTCTCCTGCATGCTTTCCACCCACTCCAGCCCCACTTCCCCCTCTCCTGCATGCTTTCCACCCACTCCAGCCCCCCTTCCCCCTCTCCTGCATGCTTTCCACCCACTCCAGCCCCACTTCCCCCTCTCCTGCATGCTTTCCACCCACTCCAGCCCCCCTTCCCCCTCTCCTGCATGCTTTCCACCCACCTTAGCCCCCATTCCCCCTCTCCTGCATGCTTTCCACCCACTCCAGCCCCCTTCCCCCTCTCCTGCATGCTTTCCACCCACTCCAGCCCCCTTCCCCCTCTCCTGCATGCTTTCCACCCACTCCAGCCCCCTTCCCCCTCTCCAAAATGCTTTCCACCCACTCCAGCCCCCCTTCCCCCTCTCCTGCATGCTTTCCACCCACTCCAGCCCCACTTCCCCCTCTCCTGCATGCTTTCCACCCACTCCAGCCCCCCGTCCCCCTCTCCTGCATGCTTTCCACCCACTCCAGCCCCCCTTCCCCCTCTCCTGCATGCTTTCCACCCACTCCAGCCCCCCTTCCCCCTCTCCTGCATGCTCTCCACCCACTCCAGCCCCACTTCCCCCTCTCCTGCATGCTTTCCACCCACTCCAGCCCCCCTGACCCCTCTCCTGCATGCTTTCCACTCACTCCAGCCGCACTTCCCCCTCTCCTGCATGCTTTCCACCCACTCCAGCCCCACTTCCCCCTCTCCTGCATGCTTTCCACCCACTCCAGCCCCCCTTCCCCCTCTCCTGCATGCTTTCCACCCACTCCAGCCCCCTTCCCCCTCTCCTGCATGCTCTCCACCCACTCCAGCCCCACTTCCCCCTCTCCTGCATGCTTTCCACCCACTCCAGCCCCCCTGACCCCTCTCCTGCATGCTTTCCACTCACTCCAGCCGCACTTCCCCCTCTCCTGCATGCTTTCCACCCACTCCAGCCCCCCTTCCCCCTCTCCTGCATGCTTTCCACCCACTCCAGCCCCCCTTCCCCTCTCCTGCATGCTTCCACCCACTTCCCCCCTCCCCCTCTCCTGCATACTTTCCACCCACTCCAGCCCCACTTCCCCCTCTCCTGCATGCTTTCCACCCACTCCAGCCCCACTTCCCCCTCTCCTGCAATGCTTTCCACCCACTCCAGCCCCCTTCCCCCTCTCCTGCATGCTTTCCACCCACTCCAGCCCCCCTTCCCCCTCTCCTGCATGCTTTCCACCCACTCCAGCCCCCCTTCCCCCTCTCCTGCATGCTTTCCACCCACTCCAGCCCCCCTTCCCCCTCTCCTGCATGCTTTCCACCCACTCCAGCCCCCCTTCCCCCTCTCCTGCATGCTTTCCACCCACTCCAGCCCCACTTCCCCCTCTCCTGCATGCTTCCACCCACTCCAGCCCCCCTTCCCCCTCTCCTGCATGCTTTCCACCCACTCCAGCCCCACTTCCCCCTCTCCTGCATGCTTTCACCCACTCCAGCCCCCTTCCCCCTCTCCTGCATGCTCTCCACCCACTCCAGCCCCACTTCCCCCTCTCCTGCATGCTTTCCACCCACTCCAGCCCCCCTTACCCCTCTCCTGCATGCTTTCCACTCACTCCAGCCGCACTTCCCCCTCTCCTGCATGCTTTCCACCCACTCCAGCCCCCCTTCCCCCTCTCCTGCATGCTTTCCACCCACTTTAGCCCCCCTTCCCCCTCTCCTGCATACTTTCCACCCACTCCAGCCCCACTTCCCCCTCTCCTGCATGCTTTCCACCCACTCCAGCCCCACTTCCCCCTCTCCTGCATGCTTTCCACCCACTCCAGCCCCCCTTCCCCCTCTCCTGCATGCTTTCCACTCACTCCAGCCGCACTTCCCCCTCTCCTGCATGCTTTCCACCCACTCCAGCCCCCCTTCCCCCTCTCCTGCATGCTTTCCACCCACTTTAGCCCCCTTCCCCCTCTCCTGCATGCTTTCCACCCACTCCAGCCCCACTTCCCCCTCTCCTGCATGCTTTCCACCCACTCCAGCCCCACTTCCCCCTCTCCTGCATGCTTTCCACCCACTCCAGCCCCACTTCCCCCTCTCCTGCATGCTTTCCACCCACTCCAGCCCCACTTCCCCCTCTCCTGCATGCTTTCCACCCACTCCAGCCCCCCTTCCCCCTCTCCTGCATGCTTTCCACCCACCTTAGCCCCCATTCCCCCTTTCCTGCATGCTTTCCACCCACTCCAGCCCCCCTTCCCCCTCTCCTGCATGCTCTCCACCCACTCCAGCCCCACTTCCCCCTCTCCTGCATGCTTTCCACCCACTCCAGCCCCCCTTCCCCCTCTCCTGCATGCTTTCCACCCACTCAAGCCCCCCTTCCCCCTCTCCTGCATGCTTTCCACCCACTCCAGCCCCCCTTCCCCCTCTCCTGCATGCTCTCCACCCACTCCAGCCCCACTTCCCCCTCTCCTGCATGCTTTCCACCCACTCCAGCCCCCCTGACCCCTCTCCTGCATGCTTTCCACTCACTCCAGCCGCACTTCCCCCTCTCCTGCATGCTTTCCACCCACTCCAGCCCCACTTCCCCCTCTCCTGCATGCTTTCCACCCACTCCAGCCCCCCTTCCCCCTCTCCTGCATGCTTTCCACCCACTCCAGCCCCCCTTCCCCCTCTCCTGCATGCTTTCCACCCACTCCAGCCCCCCTTCCCCCTCTCCTGCATGCTCTCCACCCACTCCAGCCCCACTTCCCCCTCTCCTGCATGCTTTCCACCCACTCCAGCCCCCCTTCCCCCTCTCCTGCATGCTTTCCACCCACTCCAGCCCCCCTTCCCCCTCTCCTGCATGCTTTCCACCCACTCCAGCCCCCCTTCCCCCTCTCCTGCATGCTCTCCACCCACTCCAGCCCCACTTCCCCCTCTCCTGCATGCTTTCCACCCACTCCAGCCCCCCTGACCCCTCTCCTGCATGCTTTCCACCCACTCCAGCCCACTTCCCCCTCTCCTGCATGCTTTCCACCCACTCCAGCCCCCCTTCCCCCTCTCCTGCATGCTTTCCACCCACTCCAGCCCCCCTTCCCCCTCTCCTGCATGCTTTCCACCCACTTAGCCCCCCTTCCCCCTCTCCTGCATACTTTCCACCCACTCTAGCCCCACTTCCCCCTCTCCTGCATGCTTTCCACCCACTCCAGCCCCACTTCCCCCTCTCCTGCATGCTTTCCACCCACTCCAGCCCCCCTTCCCCCTCTCCTGCATGCTTTCCACTCACTCCAGCCGCACTTCCCCCTCTCCTGCATGCTTTCCACCCACTCCAGCCCCCCTTCCCCCTCTCCTGCATGCTTTCCACCCACTTTAGCCCCCCTTCCCCCTCTCCTGCATGCTTTCCACCCACTCCAGCCCCACTTCCCCCTCTCCTGCATGCTTTCCACCCACTCCAGCCCCACTTCCCCCTCTCCTGCATGCTTTCCACCCACTCCAGCCCCACTTCCCCCTCTCCTGCATGCTTTCCACCCACTCCAGCCCCACTTCCCCCTCTCCTGCATGCTTTCCACCCACTCCAGCCCCCCTTCCCCCTCTCCTGCATGCTTTCCACCCACCTTAGCCCCCATTCCCCCTCTCCTGCATGCTTTCCACCCACTCCAGCCCCCTTTCCCCCTCTCCTGCATGCTTTCCACCCACTCCAGCCCCCCTTCCCCCTCTCCAAAATGCTTTCCACCCACTCCAGCCCCCCTTCCCCCTCTCCTGCATGCTTTCCACCCACTCCAGCCCCACTTCCCCCTCTCCTGCATGCTTTCCACCCACTCCAGCCCCCCTTCCCCCTCTCCTGCATGCTTTCCACCCACTCCAGCCCCCCTTCCCCCTCTCCTGCATGCTTTCCACCCACTCCAGCCCCCCTTCCCCCTCTCCTGCATGCTTTCCACCCACTCCAGCCCCCCTTCCCCCTCTCCAAAATGCTTTCCACCCACTCCAGCCCCCCTTCCCCCTCTCCAAAATGCTTTCCACCCACTCCAGCCCCCTTTCCCCCTCTCCTGCATGCTTTCCACCCACTCCAGCCCCCCTTCCCCCTCTCCAAAATGCTTTCCACCCACTCCAGCCCCCCTTCCCCCTCTCCTGCATGCTTTCCACCCACCTTAGCCCCCATTCCCCCTCTCCTGCATGCTTTCCACCCACTCCAGCCCCCATTCCCCCTCTCCTGCATGCTTTCCACCCACTCCAGCCCTACTTCCCCCTCTCCTGCATGCTTTCCACCCACTCCAGCCCCCCTTCCCCCTCTCCTGCATGCTTTCCACCCACTCCAGCCCCCCTTCCCCCTCTCCAAAATGCTTTCCACCCACTCCAGCCCCCCTTCCCCCTCTCCAAAATGCTTTCCACCCACTCCAGCCCCCTTTCCCCCTCTCCTGCATGCTTTCCACCCACTCCAGCCCCCCTTCCCCCTCTCCTGCATGCTTTCCACCCACCTTAGCCCCCATTCCCCCTCTCCTGCATGCTTTCCACCCACTCCAGCCCCCTTTCCCCCTCTCCTGCATGCTTTCCACCCACTCCAGCCCCCCTTCCCCCTCTCCAAAATGCTTTCCACCCACTCCAGCCCCCCTTCCCCCTCTCCTGCATGCTTTCCACCCACTCCAGCCCCACTTCCCCCTCTCCTGCATGCTTTCCACCCACTCCAGCCCCCCTTCCCCCTCTCCTGCATGCTTTCCACCCACTCCAGCCCCCCTTCCCCCTCTCCTGCATGCTTTCCACCCACTCCAGCCCCACTTCCCCCTCTCCTGCATGCTTTCCACCCACTCCAGCCCCCCTTCCCCCTCTCCTGCATGCTTTCCACCCACCTCCAGCCCCCATTCCCCCTCTCCTGCATGCTTTCCACCCACTCCAGCCCCCTTCCCCCTCTCCTGCATGCTTCCACCCACTCCAGCCCCACTTCCCCTCTCCTGCATGCTTTCCACCCACTCCAGCCCCCCTGCCCCCTCTCCTGCATGCTTTCCACCTCACTCCAGCCCACTTCCCCCTCTCCTGCATGCTTCCACCCACTCCAGCCCCCTTCCCCTCTCCTGCATGCTTTCCACCCACTCCAGCCCCCCTTCCCCCTCTCCTGCATGCTTTCCACCCACTCCAGCCCCACTTCCCCCTCTCCTGCATGCTTTCCACCCACTCCAGCCCCACTTCCCCCTCTCCTGCATGCTTTCCACCCACTCCAGCCCCCCTTCCCCCTCTCCTGCATGCTTCCACCCACTCCAGCCCCACTTCCCCTCTCCTGCATGCTTTCCACCCACTCCAGCCCCCCTTCCCCCTCTCCTGCATGCTTTCCACTCACTCCAGCCGCACTTCCCCCTCTCCTGCATGCTTTCCACCCACTCCAGCCCCCCTTCCCCCTCTCCTGCATGCTTTCCACCCACTTTAGCCCCCCTTCCCCCTCTCCTGCATGCTTTCCACCCACTCCAGCCCCACTTCCCCCTCTCCTGCATGCTTTCCACCCACTCCAGCCCCACTTCCCCCTCTCCTGCATGCTTTCCACCCACTCCAGCCCCACTTCCCCCTCTCCTGCATGCTTTCCACCCACTCCAGCCCCCCTTCCCCCTCTCCTGCATGCTTTCCACCCACTCCAGCCCCACTTCCCCCTCTCCTGCATGCTTTCCACCCACTCCAGCCCCCCTTCCCCCTCTCCTGCATGCTTTCCACCCACCTTAGCCCCCATTCCCCCTCTCCTGCATGCTTTCCACCCACTCCAGCCCCCTTTCCCCCTCTCCTGCATGCTTTCCACCCACTCCAGCCCCCCTTCCCCCTCTCCAAAATGCTTTCCACCCACTCCAGCCCCCCTTCCCCCTCTCCTGCATGCTTTCCACCCACTCCAGCCCCACTTCCCCCTCTCCTGCATGCTTTCCACCCACTCCAGCCCCCCTTCCCCCTCTCCTGCATGCTTTCCACCCACTCCAGCCCCCCTTCCCCCTCTCCTGCATGCTTTCCACCCACTCCAGCCCCCCTTCCCCCTCTCCTGCATGCTCTCCACCCACTCCAGCCCCACTTCCCCCTCTCCTGCATGCTTTCCTACCCACTCCAGCCCCCCTTCCCCCTCTCCTGCATGCGTTCCACCCACTCCAGCCCCCCTTCCCCCTCTCCTGCATGCTTTCCACCCACTCAGCCCCCCTTCCCCCTCTCCTGCATGCTCTCCACCCACTCCAGCCCCACTTCCCCCTCTCCTGCATGCTTTCCACCCACTCCAGCCCCCTTCCCCCTCTCCTGCATGCTTTCCACTCACTCAGCCGCACTTCCCCCTCTCCTGCATGCTTTCCACCCACTCCAGCCCCCCTTCCCCCTCTCCTGCATGCTTTCCACCCACTTCAGCCCCCTTCCCCCTCTCCTGCATGCTTTCCACCCACTCCAGCCCCACTTCCCCCTCTCCTGCATGCTTTCCACCCACTCCAGCCCCCCTTCCCCCTCTCCTGCATGCTTTCCACTCACTCCAGCCGCACTTCCCCCTCTCCTGCATGCTTTCCACCCACTCCAGCCCCCCTTCCCCCTCTCCTGCATGCTTTCCACCCACTCCAGCCCCACTTCCCCCTCTCCTGCATGCTTTCCACCCACTCCAGCCCCCCTTCCCCCTCTCCTGCATGCTTTCCACCCACTCCAGCCCCCCTTCCCCCTCTCCTGCATGCTTTCCACCCACTCCAGCCCCCCTTCCCCCTCTCCTGCATGCTCTCCACCCACTCCAGCCCCACTTCCCCCTCTCCTGCATGCTTTCCACCCACTCCAGCCCCCCTTCCCCCTCTCCTGCATGCTTTCCACCCACTCCAGCCCCCCTTCCCCCTCTCCTGCATGCTTTCCACCCACTCCAGCCCCCCTTCCCCCTCTCCTGCATGCTCTCCACCCACTCCAGCCCCACTTCCCCCTCTCCTGCATGCTTTCCACCCACTCCAGCCCCCCTGACCCCTCTCCTGCATGCTTTCCACTCACTCCAGCCGCACTTCCCCCTCTCCTGCATGCTTTCCACCCACTCCAGCCCCCCTTCCCCCTCTCCTGCATGCTTTCCACCCACTTTAGCCCCCCTTCCCCCTCTCCTGCATGCTTTCCACCCACTCCAGCCCCACTTCCCCCTCTCCTGCATGCTTTCCACCCACTCCAGCCCCACTTCCCCCTCTCCTGCATGCTTTCCACCCACTCCAGCCCCACTTCCCCCTCTCCTGCATGCTTTCCACCCACTCCAGCCCCCCTTCCCCCTCTCCTGCATGCTTTCCACCCACTCCAGCCCCACTTCCCCCTCTCCTGCATGCTTTCCACCCACTCCAGCCCCCCTTCCCCCTCTCCTGCATGCTTTCCACCCACCTTAGCCCCCATTCCCCCTCTCCTGCATGCTTTCCACCCACTCCAGCCCCCATTCCCCCTCTCCTGCATGCTTTCCACCCACTCCAGCCCTACTTCCCCCTCTCCTGCATGCTTTCCACCCACTCCAGCCCCCCTTCCCCCTCTCCTGCATGCTTTCCACCCACTCCAGCCCCCCTTCCCCCTCTCCTGCATGCTTTCCACTCACTCCAGCCGCACTTCCCCCTCTCCTGCATGCTTTCCACCCACTCCAGCCCCCCTTCCCCCTCTCCTGCATGCTTTCCACCCACTTTAGCCCCCCTTCCCCCTCTCCTGCATGCTTTCCACCCACTCCAGCCCCCATTCCCCCTCTCCTGCATGCTTTCCAACCACTCCAGCCCCACTTCCCCCTCTCCTGCATGCTTTCCACCCACTTTAGCCCCCCTTCCCCCTCTCCTGCATGCTTTCCACCCACTCCAGCCCCACTTCCCCCTCTCCTGCATGCTTTCCACCCACTCCAGCCCCACTTCCCCCTCTCCTGCATGCTTTCCACCCACTCCAGCCCCACTTCCCCCTCTCCTGCATGCTTTCCACCCACTCCAGCCCCCCTTCTCCCTCTCCTGCATGCTTTCCACCCACTCCAGCCCCACTTCCCCCTCTCCTGCATGCTTTCCACCCACTCCAGCCCCCCTTCCCCCTCTCCTGCATGCTTTCCGACCCACCTTAGCCCCCATTCCCCCTCTCCTGCATGCTTTCCACCCACTCCAGCCCCCTTTCCCCCTCTCCTGCATGCTTTCCACCCACTCCAGCCCCCCTTCCCCCTCTCCAAAATGCTTTCCACCCACTCCAGCCCCCCTTCCCCCTCTCCTGCATGCTTTCCACCCACTCCAGCCCCACTTCCCCCTCTCCTGCATGCTTTCCACCCACTCCAGCCCCCCCTCCCCCTCTCCTGCATGCTTTCCACCCACTCCAGCCCCACTTCCACCTCTCCTGCATGCTTTCCACCCACTCCAGCCCCCCTTCCCCCTCTCCTGCATGCTTTCCACCCACCTTAGCCCCCATTCCCCCTCTCCTGCATGCTTTCCACCCACTCCAGCCCCCATTCCCCCTCTCCTGCATGCTCTCCTACCCACTCCAGCCCCACTTCCCCCTCTCCTGCATGCTTTCCACCCACTCCAGCCCCCCTTCCCCCTCTCCTGCATGCTTTCCACCCACTCCAGCCCCCCTTCCCCCTCTCCTGCATGCTTTCCACCCACTCCAGCCCCCCTTCCCCCTCTCCTGCATGCTTTTCCACCCACTCCAGCCCCCCTTCCCCCTCTCCTGCATGCTTTCCACCCACTCCAGCCCCCCTTCCCCCTCTCCAAAATGCTTTCCACCCACTCCAGCCCCCCTTCCCCCTCTCCAAAATGCTTTCCACCCACTCCAGCCCCCTTTCCCCCTCTCCTGCATGCTTTCCACCCACTCCAGCCCCCCTTCCCCCTCTCCAAAATGCTTTCCACCCACTCCAGCCCCCCTTCCTCCTCTCCAACCTGCTTTTCCACCCACTCCAGCAGTGCCAATTTCCCCCTTTCGCTATGCTCTCCACCGCCTCTTTCGCTGCTTTCACATTGTCTTGGTTCATGCTCGTGGTTTCAGGTGCACACGGCACTTGCGATTCCGCCTCACGACAAGATGGAATGGACGTCAAGGGGGCAGTTTGTCAAGGCTAGCCCGGGCGAGAAGAACTTCTCATCTGTTGCAATCAACCCTGCAGGGAAGGGGTCCCCCTGGTACGGCCGTTGTCTTGTCCTGTTTCACTACAACAAAGATGGGGAGCTGAGGCGCGGAGCATACGTGGAGTATTACACCGAGGACAAGCGACTATGCCCGTCAACGGGATGCAAGCGCCTTCTACCCACAGAGGGCGAGGATGATTTTGCAGTGATTGATGTCGACTGCATTCTCAGTCTCGTACACATTGTTCCCTCATGTGAGGACGATGAAGTGAGCCTTCTTAATAGATTCGTTTGGTGAGGTCTAGCACACGTAGAGAACTTTGACGCATTGTGACTTTTGTAAACATGAAATTGTTCCCTGACTATGTTCTTTTTAGGCCTTGTAAGAATATAATAGGTGTAAAATTTCCTTCAAATAGTTAAACATGTCTCTTGGAAGCACTATTTACATAGAGAAAATTACATCATCATATTCAAAGAAACATAAGTGCAAATGTCATGAATGTAACAAATGGTACACAAAAGCCTAAACGAGGAATTCTTGGAGAGAATCAAATTTCTCGCTATCTGCTCCCTCGCGAAGAGACATGCTCGACTATCTGTTAGGCCCGGAACCCTAATCCTGCGCACAAGCAAGAAATAGTTAGGAGCAAACATTCAGAATGTGACTGGAAAACATTCCGCCGAAGGCAAACGTTTTTTAGAGTTTCCCTGTACGTTTTTCAAACGATTGTCAAACGTACGATAGGCTGCCGCGAATGTCAGATGATTTCCAGACACACGCATTTTTGTGATGTTCTCTGTCAATAAATGGCGAGGGAAGTGTGAATATCGTTCCCACACGCAGTCTTGCATGGGAAATCCGAGCATGTAGTAATCCCTCCAGCAAGCCCCCAGCACATTCAGTACGATCCTTTCCACATGTCTCATATACTCCACTACTGCATCCCTCATTCCACACACACATTTTTGCTACTTCTTCCTTAACAAACTCCAACAGAACCTCCTTTCGTGCATGAACCTGCTGCAGTTACCTGTTGCCATGCCCCTCGGCATGCCAACTAGTTCTCCGACTTGGGATTGTTAGAACTACTAGAACTGTGCCTGTCCTTTTCTCTTTCTCTCCATCTACAGAACCCCGGTATCCGATTATTGAACTTGGAATATGTTCCTTAATCATGTTCGAGCATGAAAAAAAACTTTAAGATAACTTCATAAATGATTATAAGACATAACAATTCCAAAGGGTTCCAAAACCAGATGATGATTTTGGGTGAGAGGACAGTGGGATAAATTGTTCAAGAAGCGCTCACAAAATCATAGAGTGCAAAAGATATACAATTGTTGTTATTTAACAACAATGGGTTTTTTGACAGATTGCAAAAGATATACAAATACCACAGAGGCGTTAAGGGATTGCATGGACAGCAAGGGTTCACTCGCTGAAATGCAACAAGGGACTACAAATACAGAGCACGCAAAGTGGGGGAGCGAGAAAGAAAATCATAGAGGCACCAAAATCAAGGTCATCAAGAGTTAATGCGCATATGGGGGACGCAAGACCAGCTAGAGTTGGTGCTCTCACATGCTGGTCACCATGCCTTGATCATCGCAGTCCACATAGTAGTAGGCCAAGCTGCAGTCCCCCCCAGCCACCCAGCCAGAGAAATTCCGCCCCCACGCGTGCTGCAAGTCCAGTAGGACTTGCACTGGCAGCAGATGGTGGGGAGAGGGGGATATGGTGGCAAGAGAAGGGTAGAAGGAGGGTTTGGGGCAGGGAACGGAGGAAGAAAATATTGGCTCCCATCACCGGTGTGCCGCACCCTTCTCTTCCTCTCTCACTCATCAGCCTGTGTCGCACGACTGCGGAATGGACACGTGCGTTGGTGAAGTGAAGTACCGAGAAACCGTGATTTCGAGATTGAAGCTGCTACGGTGATCAACGTTATGCACATGGGAGCATGGGCGGCGTGGTCACTGATTCGTCCACTGGCAACGATGGTGCCACTGAAGATTGTAGAAGGCGTAAACAGGAAAGGGAGGTCAAAGAGGGGGTAATCATCGTTGACATTGAGCATCCCTGAGCACCATTAGGTACTCAAGCAAGTGATTCGTGCTGGAAATTATCGTAAATGAGCTGCGGCCCTTGCCATTGCTGCATCAGCCCACGCCAGCAAGATTTTCACTGGCTGCGCAAGCAGGAGAGGGGGGCGAAATGGAGTAGGAGAAAGAGGGAGCGGGAGAAACACCCTGCTAGGGTGGGAGGGAAGAAGAGATATATAAGCTCATCAACACCGTGTGGTCTCAGGAAGGCTTCCTCCCAGCACCGTACTAGTGGCAAACTGAACGGGCAAGTTTCTCTCTACAAGGACGAACCTTGGGAGGCGGCAAACGGATCACAGTGGACCGGAGAAACCACTAAGAGACACGCCAGAAATCTGAGTACGATGAGCCGAATTATTCTTCCCGCGCCGTCCGTTGCCATCGTGGTGCGGCGAGCTTCCAGTAAACTACTACTATTTCTATGGCTTGTGAAGCTGTAAACAGCAGTGATTCTATGCGTCGATAAAAACGCTTGAATATATGTAGACGGTTAAAGCAAAATTGCTGTTTCTGGGAGTGCAGTTGCCAACTATGAGGAGGAGAGGATCCTTAGACTAGGAGGAAGCTAAGTTTCGGAAACTAGTAGAGGGAAAGACTTGAAGGGAGGGAGGTGAGGGTGGGAGTTGGAGAGGAGATGGATGTAGTCCCAGTTTCCTGCCAATATCGCTTCACAATTTCCTGCGCGGCTGCGATTGGCCAACCTGTCGCTGACGAAGCGGAATTCGTGAGTTCGCGACATCAAATTCCACAGATGCGAATGTATCGAAGAGTTACCCTGCTCTCACAAGTTTCGATGGTGGCGTGGCATGCCAGCAGGGGGTTTCGAGCTACCAAAAGTCTCGCCAGGTCTGCATGCGGTCAGACAAATCAGGACAGCGGCTGACCTTGTTTGACAAACACCGACGTCTTCATTCGCTCTCGCAACACTGGAACAAAGCGAAACCCTAATGAGCACTCCAATAAATAATGCTCCCATGCGAGCTAAACATATTTGAGAAGGCTTATCATGGCACTAGCAACCAGTGTCCTGGCGGCTTGGCGGCAAAGCGAAATAGCTGCTCGGCCCGCGGTCTAGCCGCTCAGCCAGCGACCCACCTTATCGCGATCTAGAACTGTCTGTGGTCTAGCGATAGGTAGAGCAATGCATAGTTTCATCATCGTGCGAATTTTGAGTTCACTTGAAAATAAGGCAAGATGGCACTGATGTTCCCACTCGTTATGGGATGTCAGAACGTAAGGGGACGTCACTCTCGCACCTGCTCTTCTCCTCCTTGCCATCGCACCCAGTCCCCCTCTGTGCGACGCCGCCGCCGTCGCAAGAAGCACGAATGCGCATCAGATTCGCTTTTTTTCCCGCCCTCCCTCCCGCAGCTTCCTTCCGATTTCTCGCTCCTCCCAGCGAGGCCTCTAATGGCCATGAATCCGTCCTCGGCCCTTCTTCTTGTAACTGCTCTGTGACGTAATGTCGAAGGATAGTCTCAAAGGAACGTCGTACTATGTTCAAACAAAGTATGTAGACACATGTACGTTCAAACATAGTATATGGGCCTCCAAATTTTGGGATGAAGTTTGTTCTACAAGGACGAACCTTGGGAGAAGGCGAACGGGACACAGCGTACTGGAGAAACCACGGCGATACACATCAGAGATATGAGTAAGCCGAGCCGAATGATGCGTCTCTTGTCGTCCATTGCCATGATCGTGGTGCGTTGAGTAGTAACGCGCTTGTGAACTGTGCGCAACTAGTGGATTCTGAGCGTCAATAGAAACGCGTGAATACTTGTAGAAGGTTAAACCAAGAAACTACTATAGCGGGAGTGCAGACGAGGTCAAATAGGAATCTGAGGAAATCGGAAGCTAGTAGGAAATGAAACTTGAGGAAGAAAGTGGCAGGAGGTAGGTGAGGGTGGAAAGTGAAGTCCCATTTTCGTGCCAAGATCTGCGTTTGCAATAATATTCTTCATGGCTGTGTGAGGTCAATATCGCTGACAGATGTTGAATTCGCGAGTTGCTTGTGACCCCCCTCCCATTCAGCCGTGAAATGTGGATCTGGACAGATGTGAATGTAAAGGTACCCTGCTCTCACGAATACCAAGGTGACACGAGTTTCGACGGTGGCGTGGCATGCCAGCAGGGTGTGTCGATCTACCAAAACGCTTGCCAGGTCTGCGATTCAGACGAATCAGGACAGCGGCTGACCCTGTTTGACGAACAACGACCTCTTCATTCGCAATCGCAATAACGGAACAAAACCCTGATGACAAGTACAGAAATGATAGACAACACTCCCAGCATTCGGAGAGCAACTAGTATATTTGAACGCGCGGTTTAGGGCACTAGCGACCAGTCCGCTGGCGAGCTGGCGTGTCCTAACGACATAGCAATAGCCGCTCGACCTTATCGCGACCTAGAACTGTCAAGCGGTCTAGCGATAAGGTAGAATGGACGGCTCGGAGTTCCATCGTGCGAATTTTGAGTTGACTGAAAAATGCGGCGAGATGGCAGTAACGTAAGATGCTCATGATCTATACTCTAATCGTTATGGGGTGTTAGAACGTGGTCTATCATCCGCGTAAGGGGACATCACTCTCGCACCGCCTTCCCCTCCTCGTCCTTCTTCTCCTCCTCACCATCGCACAATCCGCAATGTGTGACGCCGCCGCCACCGTCGCGAGAAAGAAACGGCAGATCAGCTTTTCTCCCGCGCTCCTCCCGCAGACCCCTGCCAATTCCTTGCTATCCCCAAGGAAATGCCTTGATTCGTACGCTGTGATGGACGGTCTCAGGAGGAACGTCTCTCTTGCTCAGTCGTTAGGATTCCGTATGAGCTGAGGCGATAACACACCAATACTGCTGTTGTCGTGCCCTTTTGAGACTTCTGGTGTCAGAACCGCCGCCTTCAATGCTGGTCGGAGGATTGTGTTCTTCCCCCCTGCTCCTCTCCTCATGCCTGTTCGCCCCCGCTCTTCCCCAGCTTTTTCTTAGAATCCTCATTCTGTGCTTGTTGTGCGCGATCAAGTTTTCCATCAATTTGTATGTACCTTTCGAGACATCTAATAACATCAAATTTCCCTTCTCTCATTCTCCCCCTCCTCTACTCCCCCTTTCCCCTTTCTTTCCCCCCCAATCCACCTGCCTACCCCCTCCTCAATTCTCCCCCCTTCCTCGTGCAACCTGCCATCCTCTCACAGGCTACGACAACCTGCTGGACCGGATGGCAGGGCGGCAACCATGCACAGCACGCGCATGGTCCTCGCAGCCATGTCGTCGTCTTTGCTGCCGACCAGACCAGACGGCCTTAGCCGTCTGTCAAATGGCGATCAGCATTACCTTCCTCAACGTCGCCTTCAGCGCTGGTGGGAGAATTGACTTTTCCCTCCCTCCTCCTCTCCCCTGCTCGTCAAGTAAGCGGCTGCTCCCGCGACGAGATGGCCGACGCCTTCCTCGAGGTGGCTGAGAGGGTTGGGAAGAGGTGGGCAGGGGGGAAGGGAGGTGTGGGGGCGGGGATAGGGCTGGGAGATTGTTGGGAAAGGGTTGGGAGATGGCTGAGGGAGGGTGGGAGGGGGAGGGGGGGGGGGGGGGAGGGGGGGGGGGTAGGGGCATGGAGAACGAAATCGGATTCTCGCGTGACGAGATCGCGGACGGCTTCCTCGATGTGCAGGAAAGGGGCGGGGGAGAGGTGGGCGCGGGGGAGGGGAGATGTGGGGGCGTGGAGAGGGCTGGGAGATTTCTGGGAGTGGGCTGGGAGAGGGGAGAGGGGGGAAACGGGGGGGAAGGGGGGGGGGGGGAGGCATGGAGAACGAAAGCGGGTGCTTTTGCGACGAGATTGCAGACGCATTCCTGGGGAGAGGGGAGAAGAGGGGGCAGGGGGGTGGAGTGGGTGGGAAGGTGGGGGTGGGAAGGTGGGAAGGTTTGGTTGGTGATGAAAGTGTGAGGGTTGTGCAGCGAGAAGAAATGAGTGGCGACGGGGATTGCTAGCAGTCGTTTTTTGCTTAGGGTCCCAACCCAACCCCTCTCACTTCTCCACCCTCCGCCACCCGTGCGACATTGATCGCTCAAGTGTGTACGCGGTGTGCAACATCCCCTAACCTTAGTCTCCCCGCCTGTTCCCCTCCGCGCCATTTCCAATCTTTCCGCCTCCCTGAAGGTGCACCGGGGAAGATGTGTGAGGACTTGTGCCAGCAGTAGCAGACGGCATGTTGCTGCGCAAGCTTGTTCTGGGATGCCTCAAAGCAACCAGGCTTTTTCTCTCCCCTCCGTGCCTGACAACCTCCGTGACCTTTACCCTCCGTGTTCTCGATCCCCCACCCCCCGCTTCAGGTGTGTGTGTGAGGGCCGTGTGCCAGCAGACCGCATGGTGCTGCGCAAGCTGGTGTCGAATCATCCCCACCTCCCCTTCTCCACCCACACCCCCCCCTTCTTCTCCCCTCTTTCACCCCCACCAGGTGTGTGAAGACAATGTACCAGCAGTAGCAGGCTGCATGGTGTTGCGCAAGCTTGTTTCAAGTTGACCCCTCCTTGCACCTCTTCCCCCTGTCTCCCTCCGCCAGGTGTGTGAGGACCATGTGGCAGAAGGCCGCACGGTGTCGTGCAAGCTGTCGCAGGACATGCGCGAGTGGACCGTGGATGGACCGGCGGGTGAGCCATGGAACAAGGGGTGATTGTTGTGGGATGATACCGGTAAGCAATGGGGGGGCGCGAGGAGGGGAAGAGGGAATTAGGGGAGGCGGGGGATAAAGGGCGCTGGCACAGGACATGCACAACTTTTGAGGCGCCTCAAAACCGAGTCTATTTTTTTGGCGCCTCAAAATTCTGATAAAGGGTGCTCGTGCAGGACATGCGCGAGTGGCGGCGCCTGCAGGTGGGTGTTTACGGGATAAGGGTTGATTGTGGGGATGATACGGGTACGCAGTGGGGAGCCGAGGAGAAGGAAAAGAGTGGGTTAGGGAAACGGAGGGATAAATGGTCCTGGCACAGGACATGCACGAGTGGCCGCGCCTGCAGGTGAGCAAGAGGGGGAGAGAGTGGGGGGGTGAGGGAATACGGGGGATATGGAAGGGTTAAGAGGCGATGGGGGAAGAAGATGTCAAGGGTTCATGAACGTGAGGTCTAAGAAGCAAGACCTAGGGTTCTCTCCTCTGATCTTTGCCACCGCTTTCCCCCACTCCTCTCCCCCACGCCTCTCTCCAACGCCTCTCCCCCACTCCTCTCGCCCACACCACTCCCCTACACCTTTCCCTTACCCCCTTCTCTCCCCCACGCCTCTACCGTCTGCCCACCCTGCCCCTGCTCCTGCTAGGAGGAATCAGCCCCCTGGCAGTGCAATTGGATGCGATGGGCAGCGCAATTTTGCTGAACGGGCAGATCACCACGTGGGGCTGTAAGCCGGCGCACAGGTCAACCGCTCTCCCATCATGTGTGAGTGCCATTTTGGCAGTCTACCATCGTGCAGGGCAGGCAGGGGCCTGCGAGTGGTCAGAGAAAGGCACAGCCTGTTCGCGCAAGGGGGGAGCACGGGGGGGCGTTTGGTCTGGGCCAAGAAGGGGCATGCAACACACAAAGTGTGGCTGGCAATTATTTATCAACCAGCTTGCACTTCCCTCTTACCTTTTCGGCCAGGTTTCCGTGTATAATGTGTTTAACATCCCACCTTACTATGGAGGTCCTAAAGAACCTTAGCACAACAAGCCTGTCCTTTGACGACTGAACGCATCGGCAAACTATTTTTGCCTGGCCCTTTTTTTTTTTGCCCGTTTTGCCTGACAATATGTTACTCGCTTTTACATGTATGTGCGTATGTATGTGGACGTTAATGTTTACCCGTGAGTTGGGATTGTGTGGGACGTAAGATCTTAGATGGGACCCATCTAAGAATCTTATTATCAACTCATTCCCCCCTTTAACCCCCCCAATTTTCCCCCGCAGCTCCCACATGCTTTTCCTTAACCGAATTCTGGCTCACAGGTTCCCAGAGCTGTCTCCCACATCCTTCTCATTATTCACTGCCCCGTTTTGTCAGTTCCCTCCCCCCCTTTCCCCCAGCTTCGCACCTGCCTCTCTGAAACCCACGTCTGCCTCACTTCACTGAATCCACCCCCCACAGCACAGGCGCACTCTTCACCCAGGCACTGTCCGCTCCCTTCCTCATACCTCTTCCTTTCCCCACCCCTCCTAGCTCCGCAACTGCTTCTCCCACGCCGAAGTTTGCTGCATGGGTGCCTGCTACTACATGGGCATGGCGGCGCACTGTTCACCCAGGCACTGTCCTTTCTCTCCACTCTCCACCTCCTCCAAACCTTCCCTGTCTTCCCACCAGCTCCGCACCTCACCTGCCTCTCCTGCAACAATTTCTGGCCCATGAGTTTTCGGCACAAGCATTCTGTTCACGGGGAACATGCAGACTGTTGAGTGCACTCCTTGCCACAGCTGAAACGCACCTTTCCTTCTCCACTCATTACCCTCTTCCCTCCCACCTTCAATCCACCCCACTTACCACCAGCTCCACACCCGCTTCTCTTACACACTCCAGGGGACTTCTGCTCCACTCCACTGACTCCGTGCCCCTGCGACATTGTCCCCCACATCCCTCCCATAAACCCCTATGCTGTTTACCCGTTCCCCCCCTCCCCCTTCTTCCCCTCCCTCCCCCCACCGCTCCCTACTCCAGCTCTGCGCCTGCTTCTCCCACACTGACTTGAGCCCCACCAACTCTCCTGCCTGCCTCTACAGCGCAGTGCATGGCTCACCCCCTCAGCAGCATGCTAGCTAGAGGCTGCTGACGTGGCGGAGGTGCATGACAGGCTGCAGGCGAAGCTGGGGGAAGCCAGGCCGCTGAAAGCCCCGTGGCAGTTTTTGTCTGGGAGCAGAGAGAGAAGGAGGCTCGTGGTGCGATGCCTTGCCTTGTAGGTGATTCTTGTGGTGCCAGGCAAGGCTGGGTGGGGCTGCGCATTGCTGGGTGGGGCTGCGCATTGCTGGGTGGGGCTGCGCATTGCTGGGTGGGGCTGGACCACTGGGTACCCTATGGCGGGTTTTGAGCATGGCCAGGTAGAGGAAGAAGGAAGGTGTGCTTTGAGTGAGTGAGAGGCGGCGGGCTGCTTGATGCTTGTGGGTGACTGTGGGTCACGGTTGAGGCAAGGCTGAGCAGGCCACGGGGGTGCTGGGTGGTTTGGAGGTGGTGGCGTACTTGCTAGATGAGCAAAGGGCGGAGGAGGTAGGTGGGGATAGGCACGTGGGCTAACGATGGGCCACCAGCACAGCACCAGGAGGTCACCAGTAGCGAGGCTGCTGGGTGCCGGCAGCTTTCTTATTGAGGGTTTCTTATTGAAGGATGAGCAGTGGCAGGAGGAGGTAGGTGGTGAGAGTGACGTGGGTTGTTTATGGGTTCATCTCGGGTCAGTCTCAGGTCGGGCTGAGCAAGTACCGAACTCAAGTCGAACCAGTCCAGTCCACTAGTCGAATTGAACCAGTTGGGTCGAATCAAGTCGAACCAACACCGAGGTTCAAACCAGATGAGCTTGGCAACATCATCTCGAGTGAATCTCGGCAAACTCTGCGAATTCCTCCGCTGGTTCCCAGGTTTCCATTGCCAGATATCTTTTGGTTCGTTGCCTCCGGGCATGGCACCCTAAGATGAACCAAACCAAAAGGTTCGACCCGCTTATGTGCATGCATTGATTCCGCTCCGCCGTGTTCAAGGTTGATCCACGAGAGGCTGACTGCCCTGTGGCAGCGCTAGTTATCCAAGGTGGCAATTCGAATTCGAGACTTTTTAGGGGCCGTTACTCTCAAAACATCGGCCCCCATAGTGTCTTTTTCCATGAGAACAGAGGTGTCATGTGGTAGGTGTGAGGGCAGAGAGAGCAGAAATGTGTAATAGCTGGCTCCAAAGGAGGGGTGACCAAGAGTGAAGAGTATGAAGATGAGGGTTTCATGAGGATCACAAGGAGAGGAGGTGGCAGGAGGGGCAAGAGCAGAAGGGGAAGTAATAGGAGGTGAAGGTGGGGAGGAGGATGAAGAGAGACGAGGATGAGAGGAGTCAGAGGGAGGTAAAAGAGGAGAGGTGGTGGGTGGTAGCGACCCGGGCTGGTGTGTGTGACAGCGAAGGACAGTGTGGTGAACCAGATTGTGAGGACCATCGTGGCTCAAGAGCCTTGCGGTAGTCGGCAGCGACATCACGTTCAATGGGTCTGAGGCGGTGCAGTGGCAGCCCGCACAGTGTGGGTGTACATGGAAAGCTTGTGCTTCATTCACAAGGAGTTTGGCGTGGTGGTCATGGTGAGTGAAGTTTGTGCTTTCCAGTGAATATACAGGCGGTTCACACGTGTTTGAATATGCTTCCAAGGACGGAGACAGTGCAGGTGTGCGAGGTGATGGATTAACTAGAAATGCATCGTGTTTCGTTTCTTGTGATGCTGGGAAGACCTCCTGGCCTTTGCGCCATTGAATTTCCGTCCCTATTTTGCTGCTTTTGCCGCTGGTTCTATCACATGGTAGAGTGCGGTTTTTCCATAATGCCATCATTATCCATCTTCCACTCCCTCTTGCTCGCCTAACAGTACGCCCTATCCTTCTTCCCTCTCTTCCCTTGCTCTTTCTTTTCCTTTCCACGCCAACAGCGTATTGCCATGTACTCTTCGTCAAGAGGAGCCCAAAAAATCGTCACAACGCACAGCCAGGAAGCATGGCAGAGCCATGGGCTGGCAGCAGCAGTGGTGGCAGTGAAGTAGGTCAATGGCGAGTGCATGGAGACAGGCAGGAGGGAGGAGTGAAAGGGAAGAGCGAGGCAGCTTGTGTTTTTGTTTCCCCTCCCCCTCTCCCCTTCCCTCCCCCACCCCCACCCCTCATCCTTCCATCCTCCACTTCTCTTCATCCCATCACGCCATGCCCTTCATCCCATCGTGCCCTTCGTCCCATCGTGCCCTTCATCCCATCGTGCCCTTCATCCCATCGTGCCCTTCATCCCATCGTGCCATGCCCTTCATCCCATCGTGCCATGCCCTGCATCCCATCGTGTCGTGTCATGCCCTGCATCCCTGTTTAATTTTCAGAAATCAGTATTTTCGATTACCCCAATGCAGAGATGGGTGCATGACCGGCAGATCCATGTCTTTCATCAACCCCTCCTGCTACCAACTGCCCTGCACCTGCCGCAGCAGATCAATAGTAGTAGCGTCAATGACATGGGGGAAGGAGAGATTGTGGGGTTGGGCAAGGGGATGCGGGGAACAGACACAGCAGCAAGCATGAGCGGCAGCAGCTGCAGGGCTCCATTTTCATTTGCTCCTCCACCAGCTACAGCTGTTGCCCCCCCTGCTGACATGGCTGGCAGCCACTGATGCAGCACCCCCTGTTGCCGAGACAGCACAAATTTCAGCTCCCATATCAGTGGCTGCCACGTTAGCAGGGGAGGCAACAGCTGTAGCCGGTGGAGGAGCGATGGAGGCGGGTCGGGTGTGCCATGTAGTGCTTGAAAGGAGTCGCGCTGTCCCCCTTCACCCACCCACCCCTCTCCCTCCCCACCCGGTCACCTCCTGTACCTTTGCCCTCGGGTTCCTGCCACACCCACTGGGAATGCCATTACACCGGTTGATGCAAAGTGATTACGGGAAAGGATTACTGCGGAACGAATTGGATTACCGGTATGTACTGACAGCATTACGAC